CGGGCCGCCTCCACCCAGCGCCCAGACAGCCCTTTTAGGGCCTTTTGCTGCGAGGAAAGGAGAGAAAGGAGGCGGTAGCTGGAGGAGGAACAGGACTGAGAGGTTTCCTCTTAACTGAAACGCAGGACCAGGCCTTCTTTGCAGGGTCATGGAAAGGTTGCTGTGCATAAGGGACTTCATTGTTTCTAGGTAAATGGGACACAGTTGTTACTGATTCCCTTTCAGGCCTGACCCCGCCTGCTCTGGGTGAACTCTCTAAGCCCCCGGATTGAAGCTGAGCGCCCTCTCTGCGTGTTTCTGCACAAGCTCCTCCCCAAAGCTCTCCTCTCCCCCCGGAGTGCCGCTGCCCCCACGTCCTCTGCCTGCGTCTCCCACCGTTCTCTGGGAGAGCCTCTGATTCCACCGCGACTGCTCGGCACACCCCTCCGCAGGCTGCCTCCCCCGGACTCCTAGGTGAAGGAGCCACACTGCATTCTTTGGAAACTTATTAAAAAACACTTTAAAAAATGTTTTTATTGGTTTTTAAAAAGAGAGAAAGGGAGAGGGATAGGATAGAAACATGGATGAGAGAGGAGCATCATCCATCGGCTGCCTCCTGCACGCCCCCTACTGGGGATGGAGCCCACAACCTGGCCATGTGCCCTGACCAGGATCGATGCTCAACCAATGAGTCACACTGGTCAGGCTAAAAAAAAAAAACACACCAAAAAAACTAAAGCCTGTTCATCTACAACTGGACCCCCAAGCGGAAGATGGCGAGGGCACTCTAACTCCACACTCACTGGGTGAGTGGGAAATTCCTTGCCACAGAGGAAGGAATTTCAGGAAGAGGGGGCAGCTGCGGAAGAGCCCAAGATGATGAAGTCTTAGCCACAGACAGGAAAGCACACATCCAAGATGACCTCCAAGAAAGACCTGACTGGTCTTGTCCACAGCTGTGCGACACTATGTAGCTGTCAAACGTGTACATCATGCCCGGCTGGGGTGGCCCAGTGGTTTAGCATCAACCTAGGAACCAGGAGATCACGGTTCGATTCTCAGGGCATGCAAGAGTCAGCCGATCAATGACTCTCTCTCATCATTGATGTCTCTCTCTCTTTGTCCCTCTCCCTTCCTCTCTGGAATCAATAAACATATATATATATTTTAAAAGTATATATCATAACCTTTGATCTACATAATAATTCCACTTTTAGGATTTTTTTTTTTTTTTAGAAACATAACATTTTAATAGATGAAATAAACACTCTAGTACCCACAGGGTAAAAACTTGTCGGGGGTGGGGGGATCACTCCATAGTATAAATTAGAAAATGAAACACTCACAGTGGCCTCTCCCCTCATTTGCAAGTCACGTGGCAAGGTCAGACTCTCCACACCAATACTTCTAGGAATTTATTCTAGAAAAAAAGCAGGCACTTTAATGTACTCAAGAGTATGTCAAAGGTTGTCCGTCAGAGAATTGCGCATAATTGCACAATATTGAAAACACCCTAACTGTCAACAAGAGGGAGCTGCTGGGTGTACCGCGGTGCTTCCACACTGTGGACACCACGGAATCGCCGCAGCATCGATGTAGAGATGAGCATGCATTGCCAAGGCCTGGGCTGCTCCCCGCTTCCTGCCTTCAGAAGCAATTGTATGAGGGCGTATGCTTGGAGTTGCCATGGTAGTAGTCAGCTCCTAATTGGGAAAGGCCAGGGGAATCAGAAATGCTAACCCAGACGCCTGCCTTCTTTTCTGTGAAATGAGACATCTGTGTCACATAAGCTGTCACTTGTTGGGCCACGTGCTCTTGCTGTTGAAGTTATGTTTAACTGACAGAAAATATGGAGCACAAGGTTCTTGGTGCCTAGGAGCTCTGCGGATCTAGACACCACATGTGGGAGCCGCAGTGCAGGCATTGAAGGGCTAGCGTGGGGTGAGGAAAGACAGGCAGGGGGCTGGACCAGAGAGGCTTTTGAGGGGTAAAGAATAGGATGACATGGAATCGGCAGGGCACACGAAGATTTCCTCTGTGCCACTGCTGCTGTCTTGGCTCTGACATTAGACTGAGGAAGGACTTAAATCTTTTATCGAACTTTCGATATTTAAGCACACAGTAGGTGTTTATCAGACGGTTATCACTATTCGTATCCCAGGAAGTCACTCTTGCAGACTTGTCCCTTGGAGGCAGCAGAGTCTGATGAAGGGAAAGAACTGGCCTTGGAGTCAGACTGAAACCACTTCCTGGCTGTACACCTCAGGCTGAATTCCTGAGTCTCAGGTTCCTACCTGTAAACGGAGACAAGAATACCTGCCTCACAGGATTGGCAAGAGCCACGAGAAAGTGCGTGGAAGGTGCTGGTGTACAGGAGGCACTGGAATAGCTGGAGAGCTCTGTGGTGGGCCTTGCAGGTTGCCTTCCAAACATCACTTCTTCCTCCTTCTGACAGAACCCCACTGTGGTCCGGGCACCTCCCCCTCCCAGACGAGGAAACGCAGGCTGAGAGCTCAGCTGGCACTTCCGAGGTCTCACAACCTAACAAGTGTCCGAGGCAGCGGCTCTTTCGAACCAGGTCTTCAGACTCCCAGCCCACTGTCTGCCGAATACCTCGTTCTGGGAGGCAGTAGCACATTTCTCTGACACAGCAAGGTACCTGGCACCAGAAGTTCTAAATTAGAGCCTGTCTCTCCCCAAGAGCAAGAGACTGAAATCACATGGCTTCATGACCCGGACTCAGAAGCGACACACCCTCTCTTCGGTCACAATCTGTTCGCCCTGCAGGCCGACCCTGACAGAATGCAGAAGGGGCCACTCCGGGCTGAGTCCTGGGAGGTGAGGAGCGCTGAAGACTTTCTTGGAAGCTGGCACCACACGCATCTTAACATTTTTGTGAAAATAGTTTTGACTTTACAAGTCTCCTGAAAGGGTCCGAGGGCTGCAAGGGGTCCACAGACCGTCCTTTGAGATCCACAGACCTCGATACGTTAAGCTCTCGCCAACATTGTTGCCACATGACTTATGCTACTGCTCTGAAGAGGAGTCTCAGATCCAGCTCTCTTTTGCAGATGCATATCAGTTTGTCAGATCTCACTTGAAAACAAGTTTTCCAGAGAGATTCCATCTAGGCAGCATTTTGCTTCTGCTGATGGCTAAGTGAAGGGAAGAGTAGTCATCTTCCAGGACAGACATCATAAACTAACGGTGTCACACAGTCATTCATAATCTCATCAAGGCCTTTTGCATCTTTGGGTTTATCTTAAACGTTTTTGGATATTCTCAATCTGAACCACTTTCTTGGCTAATCCATGCAATAAACTACCTGCACCAAGTAGGAACTTAACAGGAGGGCCTTTGGCCCCATCTGCAGTCAGAGAAATGGTGGGCGCTGCTGCTGCATTCAGCAGGTGAACGTCAGCCAAACAAGACCAGCAACCCCCAGGATAAGACAGATACCAACAGAAATTAAAAAAAAAAGTTTTATTGATTTTTTTTTTTTTTTTACAGAGAGGAAGGGAGAAAGTTAGAAACATCGATGGAAGAGAAACATTGATCAGCTGCCTCCTGCACACCCCCTACTGGAGATGTGCCCACAACAAAAGTACATGCCCTTGACTGGAATTGAACCTGGGACCATCCAGTCCTAAGCCAACACTCTATCCACTGAGCCAAACCGGTCAGGCACCAACGGAAACTTTTGTCTCTAGATTCCTTCCTGCTTAAGGCTAGCTCCAACTGTCCTCTTCCCGGTGACGTCATTCAAGAATGGTCTGTGGTGTGTGGTGTTAGGTTTCTACCACTCGTCATTGAAAAGAGCCCACATACAATGGATTCTTGGCCTCATATTACATTGTGAGAGATCTGAGACCTGAAGGAGCGCCGTGTAGAGAGAAAACAACAGAGGGCTGAGAACCCAGCGAAGATAGAAAAAGAGGACTGAGAAGGGGCTGATCGGAGAAAAGGCAGGTGAACCAAGGGACATTTCGTAGAAGCGGATAATGAGCTAATTTTAATTGGATGGTGAGGAGATAGACACTCCCGTGGACTTGGCCTAGAATAAAATCAGCATTTTTTGAGGAAGGCAATTTGGCAGAATCTCAAGATTTGAAATGTTCCTGCTCTTTGAGCCAATAATTGTACTCAATGCACCATTGTTTGCATCATCAATAGAGGGTTGGTGAATTATGAAAACCTGTCCCAGCTCCACTGGTAAGGAGATAAAAACCAGGCAAAGCGTTTGTTTACAGACTTGGGCATGTCCCATGTGCAGAGGAGAGAGCTTGGAGGACCACACATCGGTAGTTGGCACTGGTGACTTCTGTGGTCACCTGTAATTATGGAGAACTTTCACTTTCTAGGTTTAATTTGATTTAGAAAAACCAAGTGTGTGTCATTTATTGTGCCTCTGGTGGACCAAATCAAGACCCATTTAACATACTTCATAATGTTTTTCTTTTCCTTTTAAAGACATAGGCATTATTTCTGTAATCAGAACAAATAAAAACACACAGAAAGAATGGAGAAATGGTCAATGATAATTCAAAGAAGGTCATGAAGTTAGCTTACTGAGAAGAGAATAAGGGAAGAAGAGGTGTCTTCACGGAGTGGGGTGGGAGCTGATGGCAAGTGAGTAAGAATGAAAAAGGAGCCCCATCCGATGTGCCCTCTGGCACCAAAGGTCATCAGTTCGATTCCCAGTCAGGGCACATGTCTGAGTTATGGGTTCAACCCCTAGGTGGAATGTGTAGGAAGCAGCCAATTGATGTTTGGCTCTCATCTTAATGTTTCTCTCTCTCTCTCTTTCCCTCTCCTCCTTCCCCCCTCTCTATAAATAAAAAAATAAAAAGAATGAAAAAGAAGAATAAGAAAAATTGAAGCAGTGAATGTAAGTCTACTTTGGGAAGGTTAGCAAAAGGAGGAAGCAATGAAAGGTAAGAACAACTGGATACCGCGTGGTTCTGAATACAGTTTATTAAATAATATGTACAGCAAATGTGGTAATTCAACATCTTTATCAAATCAACCCACTGCAATAAGGAAAAATAAACGACAGGAGAACTGTGGCTGTACAGTGCGTGCTCTCGGTGTGTAACGTAAATGGCAGCACGTTAACTGCGTACGTGTAATGGCAGTTACTCTTCTTCTTTCAGAATATAACCTTCTGCTCTTTTTTGTAGTAACCTATTCCAGCAATAGGACTTAATGCTATTTCAGATAGCTAGAACTGCCAAAAAAAAAAAAAAGAAAAAAAAAGAAAAGAAAGAAGAAACCAAACAAAAAACCCCAACAAACTCAAAACCAAAAAACTGTAACTGAGATTATAGTTACTACCTTCTCTCCCAGAAATAATGGTTATTTATTTAAATTTTTAACTTTACAATGGCTATATTTGTGCTAAAAATCTGCCGGTGCGTTATGTACAATTCCTTCACTTAAATAAAAATGCAAAAAACTTCACGACTTCCTCCTTTTACTTCCCTCCAGCTGCAATTTTTAAAATTATTTTTCCATACAAAGTAGGTACATGGGCTATACAAAGTTAAATGTACATATTTACAGACCCACGTAAGCATATGGCTCTCTCCTCTGGCTTTTCCCAGGGAGGCTGCACAGGAGAGGTGGTTCGGGGCTTGCCTGTCCCCAGAAGCGTGGCTAATATATATCAAAACTGTCTGTGAGGCATGCCGCCTGCTCCGCTGCACTTGCTATTAATAAACCTGTATAAACATCTCAGCATAAAAATAGGCATTTTATCATACTAAATGTCTGACGACGAGAGAGCATTGGAAACCTTGGTTCCTTGTCTGGTGACACATAGGAAGCTGAAGTTTGATGCAAATTTGAACACATGATTTTATTAAAGACGGGCAAACCGGTGAGGCATATCTGGGTTTCTGTTGATACACAAAGGCGGGAGGCTGGCGTCATATGCAAATGTGGCTTTACAAATTGGTTTTATTTTCTAGCTGTATTTAAAGAGGTGTTCACAATTACCTACGGAATCAAGAAGCACCCCTCAGAAAACTATTAGATAAGATCATGATATTAATGGTTTTTATCTAAGAAAGTCCGGGAAACACATTAGCCAATACAAGAATTATATTTCCAAACGGGTGAGATGCTGCTGGCCGAATGCATGTGCACGCACACTTGTACTCTATTCCCTCAGAGTCAAGTCACAGTGCCCTGGGCGGAGAGGTGGGCCTCCCAAAGCAACGAGTCTTATTTAAGGAATCTCTACCCAGGAGGCTCCTCCATCTTCCTCCGCCCCCACCCCACCCCACCCCATCCCCACCATTAGTTCTACAGTCTTTCCCCTGGGGATTAAGGCTCTGCTCTAGTTAAAAACAAATGTCTCTGGGAAGAGGTAACACATTCCTGTATCAGTCATTTGCACTTAAGTGTGAAGAAGTCAGCCAGCAAGATTTGAAAAGAGGACGGGGGAGAAGTGAGGGCACTGTAGCTGTCTGATGGGGGGTGGGCAGCCGGTGGGATCCTAAGATGAGTCGTGGAGACAGAAGTGGAGGCAGAGACACTGAAGACAAACTTTGCTTACTTCTAAAGGCTCAGATGTTGGGACAATGGCGCTGGGCACGTCTGAGCTACAGGCAGAGAGCCGGGGCTCCTGCACACACTCTGGCACTCGGAATTGCTGCTCCTACTTGTGGCCGGATGTGGACTTGTGGAGAGGGTGAGAGTTTGAAGACTTGGAAGCAGCTCCAAGTATGTTCAGTCATAAAGTGCCCTCAGGCAAAGGTTTGTCCAGCATCCTGGTTGTTCAACAGTGAGCTCATGGGGACAGAAATACAGTACTTTCTAGGATCCCTCCAGGGAAATTCATCTCTTCCTCTCTCACACCCTTCTTAGCACATTTCACAGTCTCTCTTGAGTGAGTCTTTGTGTGTGTGTGTGTGTGTGTGTGTGTCTGTCTCCAATCACCTGAGTCCCTGGCAGGCAGGGAATGGGCTATTTCTGTCTTTCATTCTCCAAGGGGTCCAACAGAGAGGCTGACTGGACAGAGTTGTGACCCAGGTGTCTCAGGGGCCTCGCCCCTTAGCTCCGGCCAGCTGGGAGCAGCAGAATCACTCCCTCCCACCGCGAGCCCTGCATCTGCACCTCTGCTCTGAAGCGGAGCCTGGCCCGGGGCACCAGGACTCAGCCTGGGGGCTCCCTTCTGAGGGGCCCTAGAATTCCTGTGGGGATGCGGTAAGTCTCTGCTTGCTGGTGCCCGGCATCCAGGGTCCATCCGGGTGTGCTAACTGAATCATTGAACATCTCCATCCGTGGTTCTCCCTGAGAACAGGCCTATCAACCCCACACTGTCCTGGCCAAGAACAATCCAGAAAAGAAAGATCAGCAATGGCGTCTGATCAGTGACACTGCCCTGAAAGGGAACACCTGCGGAAGCCAGTGATCCGGGAAGGGGCACAGGGATGTGACCTCAGGAGGCACAGCGCTTCCTGACCTAAGTCACTCGGACACACACATGTAACTGTCTGCCTGGCCACCTGCTCCCACGGGCAAACCTCCCGTGCCCTTCTGTCTGACACGGGGGTCAGTGGCAATGCCGCAGGCTGGGTGTGCATGCTCCGGACACCGAAGGGTCACCTCCATTTCCCCACTAACCTCAGCGGGTCCAGGGTGGGGCCTCCACCACCGTCCGGGGAGGACCTCGCACGCAGCCCAGACTGACCTCCAGCGGCGCCGATGGTTCTGGGGGGCCAGCGGGCGTGGGCGGTGGGCTGGGGTGGGGGTCTGTGCGGAGCCTTTGGAGAATGGCTGGGGGTCTGCCAGGGGTTTCGGCCAGCTTCGGGCAGGTGAGGGAGGCGGCAGCAGGAGGCATTTCTGCGGCCACAGGTCAGGTTACCTCAGACGGGAGCGAAGGGGAGGGCTGGAGAGGCTCCCGGAAGCAGCTAAATAAATACAGATTTGCCTCATTCCTTTCTGCTCAGCGCATGGTTCGGGCCTGTCTGATACACGGTAAGCTGAGACAAGCCCGGGTTTTAAACACAACACACTTCTCTGTCCCGCTCTTTTGCTTCGTTCTTTATCCACTGTATTACTTTTCCTACTGACGCAACTTTTAAATCAAGAGACCAGTTCATGGGTGATGCTTCATCCTCCAATAAAAATCACCTCTGCGGGTTTCAGTCTTCTTACAGATACAAAGGCTTTACATAGTTGCCTGGAAAAGTACCAAACTGCCTTGTCCTTCTCGAAGTTCCTATAAAAAAACACACGGACAATGAGAAGACACCTGTGTGGGTGCAGAGGCTGGAGAGCGCCCCCTGCAGCCGGCAGTGCAGCATGCGCTTCTGCAGCACTTCCCCTATCCATCCCACTCAGGCTCAGCGTCAGGCTGGGTGGGCGTGTTAACACTCCTCTTTCTGGTCAAATGAGCTTCTTTTCAGAGAGCTAAGGTGACATTGCTTAGGCCCCACAGCTTAGCAAGCACCAGGGCAGACTTGAACCCAGGCCTCTGACCTCCAGTCACTGCTCTTCCCAATGTTTCTCTGTTTTGGAAGAATGGACACATCTCTCCAACACAACTCACTGGGGGATTTACAATTTCTAAAGTGCAGGGTTTTGGAAAGCCCAATGGATAGGACCCCCATTCCTCTCCTAAGCCTGCCGAAGCCCCACGCTGACTCCCAGCCTTTGGGACCAACCTTAGGAGGGTTCCCGTTGAGCCAGGAGCAGCACACGGTGTGGGAACAAAGCCCTGCCTGGGCTGCTCCACACCCCTATCCAATTCCTGCCCTTGGGATTCTCTCTGGAACGGCGCTGTGCATGCATGTGTGTGTGTGTATATGTGTGTGCGTGCGTGCATGCGTGACGCTGTGCCACATTACCCTCTCATTAGCAGACAACACAATCTGAGCACTGCCTCCTTTTCCCTGTTGGCCTGGATATGGCTCTGAATCCTGCCGAATACAACCTTTCAAGCAGCCGATACCAGTAGGTTGGAGCTGTCCCCCGAAGAGAAACTTTTCAGATAAAAGTGTGACACAGCGACTACCTGACCCTCTGTGGGGAGGGGGCGTCAAGAAGGCGGGAAGGCCCAGAGCTGGTGAGTGCCTTGCCTTATGGACAAGGAGAAGGAGCTTGGCTGGGTTACTTTGTTCGAAGTCTGAATATTGGGTTACTTTTGGAAGTGTTTGAGGAATTGTGGAATCTGAAATATTTCCTTTTCCAAGCTGCCAGGATGCCCCGTTAGAGAACTGGTGCCCCTCACCCCACCCCAGGCTTTGGTGAGAACCATAACTGCTTCTGGGAGAGCAGAGGTTAGCAGCGCGAATGCCCGGGAGCTGGGCTCCAGCGCGGCAGCCACGGACATCTGCTGAGCTCCGAACCAAGCCGGCCGCCCCGGGACACGTCACCCGACTTCCAAGGCTCAGCACAGAATGAAGAATGTAAAGTAGCTCACAGTGTTTTATACCGATTACATGTTCCAATGATAACATTTTTAATGCACTGGGTTTAATAAAATATATTAAAATCCACTTCACTGGTTTCTGTTTGTATTTCGTACATGGCTTGTATTATGTTTCTACTGAACTTTGCATTAGAAGAGCAATTTTCAACCTTTTTCATCTCATGGCACACATAAACTAATTACGAAAATTCTGTGGCACACCTAAAATATATAGTTTTTGCTAATTTGCCAAAAAAAAAAAAAAAAAAGGTATAATTTTGAATCATTCACACCAGGCGGCTATTGTTGTGTTGCTGGTATCATTTTAAAAATTTGACAATCTAAGGGAAAAGAGGTCAGTGTCCCTGAATAAATAGTCAGAAACTGCATGGTTTAGACATTCCTGTGGTACACGGGCTGAAAATCGCGGCATCGTGTACTGCTGACTGCTCAGCTCTGGTTTCCCTCTGAACACGGCACTAGAGGTAGCGCGCCCGCAGGCTTCGGGGGGCCTGGGAGGATGGGCGGCTTCTAAGAGGCTGGTGAGGCCACGGCCAGTCTTCCTGGCTTCCTGTGTACTAGTCTGCTGAGACCTTGCTGTTCTCACTGCCCCAGCCCTGGCATCACTTTGCTTTGGTAAGCGTGTGCAGAGGTGAGGAAAGAGTCTTTGGAAAGAAGATAAAGGCAAAGCCATTGTACAAGGGGAAAATGGAGGGAAAGTGAGCCGGTGACTCCCAACTCATACTCACACCTGACAAGAAGCACAGAGGCTTGGGGACAGGTGTGCCGGGTTCAAACACTGGCCCGACTATTCGCTGCCTGGGTGGCCCTGGGCTATGCACTTAATCTCTTTGGGCCTCAGTTTCTGAATCTGTGAAATGAGGATTAGACTTGGCTTTTGGGCAGTTTGTTGAAAGACTATCAATAAGAAAGTATGCCAAGCAAGTATCTGCTTTGTAACAGAATTTCACTTATTCCCCCATTTTATAAAGGTGGATCCTTTGTTTTAATTAAGCAGATTGCTTTGATTAAAATTATTAGAAGGCTGGAGTAGATAAGATCTTAAAATGTTTACACATATGTGTGTGTTTCATGGTAGAGACCTAGGCTTGGCCAGATTTTCTTGTGTTGTTTCATTAGAGTTTAAAAAATAAAATTTCCAACAGATACATGCACAATAGAAATACAAACAGAACTTAATGAATTTGACAAGTGCCCTCCCATGCATTTGATGCTGGCATGTTTGAGCTTTAGGTCCAACACTAATTACTGCCAGCCACACAGTCTCGAGAGCAAACATGAACTGTGCCCAGCACTCACAGTGGTCCAGGGACCGAGAAGGCTTTTCTTCCCTGTGGGGAATATGGCTTTTGCATGGTTTATTACACCTAGTTGTTCCCTCAGAACATGGCTAGTAAGAGAAGCAGGACCAGATCACTTACCAACAAACCATCCATCGTCACACTTTTCCATGACATCAACAATATCTCCATCTCGGAGTTCCAACTCATCATCGTTCTGTGGTATATAGCTATATAATGCTTGGTAGCTAAATCTATCAATGAGAAAAAGGAATATTAAGTGACTGACAGGATTAAATAAGGACCTTTTTAAAGCCATTCCAATTAAATCAACATTTAGGTAGTGTTTCCAGCTCATAAATGGAGAGAAAAATAAGGGGAGGGCTGGAGAGGCATTTATTGACAATTTCTCTAATGACTTAGCATTGGGGGAGATCCATTCGACATCTATCTATATAAAAGCCTAAGCTACTGTCTGACTCTTTGACCTGCACTGACCACCAGGGGGCCGATGCTCAACGCACAGGCATGGAAACATGGAAAAGACTGATGAATTTCAGAGGGAAGGGGGAGGGAGGAGCATGGGAAGAGATTAACCAAAGATCTTATATGCATACTAGAAGTCTGGTGCATGGATTTGTGTACCGGTGGGGTCCCTTGACCTGGCCTGCAGGGATTGGGCAGAAACTGGCAGTCTGACATCCCCTGAGGGGTCCTGGATTGTGAGAGGGCACAGGTCAGGCCCAGGGATCCCACCAGTGCATGAATCTGAGCATTGGGCCTCTAGTCGGATAATAAATTAAGACAGGCAGGGATGGAGAACTTCTGAGCAAGTCATGACCAATCCTTTTCCTTAGTTTCATTTGGTTACCATAACGGAGGATTTTGTCTAGATATCCTCCTCCCCTTTTAAATTTAACCAAGGCTTTTTCGTAACATGGGATAATTTATATAGGTTACTGAGAATAGTCAGAGGCTACTGAAGTCCAGAGATAGACATTATATTCTGGTAATTTACATTGGCCCAAGGCAATTGTCATGTTATAAAATTGTCATATTTATATGAAATATATTCCAGTTGCCTCACCGTTTAATCCACCAACAGACATTTCATTCATTGTTTTAAAATACGGATGTCACTTTTCTGAAACTATTGAAAGCCTTTTTTTCCTACCCCAGTGATCTGGGGGTTAAGATTTTTCTTTAGGTGGCAGTTGGCTTAAGGCGATTTGGGGTGTGCTGCTCTGCTTGTTCTAACAGCAACCTCGGAGAAAGCTGGCATGAAGCCTGGCATCTGCTTTGGCAACAAGGAAAAGCTCCGTTTTCACCGAGTCCTCTGACAAATAATTAAGACGCATCCACTGCACACCAGTTCACAGTTCTGCTCGCTTACTATTTTGAAACACAACAGTAGCAGGAAGAACTCTGCCCTGAGCCAAACATCTACCATTTCCAGCAGATGCTGTGATCTCCAGTGTATGAGCAAGACAGACTAGACCCAGGGAAGCGAAGCCAGAGCCCAGAACAAGAGGCTCCTTCTCCTCTGCCGGGACCCAAGGGGCAGCTTCATGGTGTGTATTTGTCTGAATGGGCTCGTCTTGTGGGAGGTGGATCTGCCTGCCGGAGGGTCTCCCACGAGGACTCAAGAGAGGCCACAGATTTCAGCTGGCAAAGGAACACACTTCGCTGTTTCTGTTTGTGCCTGCTGTCTCCCACCCAACCTGGCCTCCTTGGAACGCCTGCTCCCCTTCACCTCCTGGCTCAGCTCTGGGAGGTAACTTCTGATGCTGCTTCCTGCTCCACTGCCAGACTATGGAGCGCGGCTGGGAGTCCCCCACCACCTCTGCCTCTGTGCACAGGGCTCGTCATGCTGCCTCGTTCAGGTTTAAGTCTCTGGACCCCCTCCCTCCTGCTCTGTTCCCACCTGGGGGGAAGGGTCCTTCTGGTCATGCTTAACTCCCTTCCCTGGGCTGGTTCCTTAGCTTCTGTGCTCTCTCTTACATCTTTTGACTTTGTCAGCCCCATCTGGTCTGGTACAAATGTACTTACGTTTCTGCACCCTACTATTCCTCCACCTAGAGCCCTTTCACCCACCATGGCCCTGACTACCAACCCTTTCTGAGGAGGAGTGTGCTTCCCCCTCTCTAACTGCTGTCTTCGCCGTCACCAATGATCGTCTCCAGTTGCTGAACAGAACACCTAGAGGTCACGTCTCATTTCCTCCCACCTTGGCCGCTCTGCAGCAGGAGGCACTGCTGACCCAACACCATGCTTCAGTCTGCACAAGGGATCGCTCCTAGAGTCTCCGAGTCTCCTGTGGCTCCTCTGTGGCCTTAAAAAGTTGTTCTCTAAGGATCTACCCTCATTTCCCTTCTCGCTCTGCCCAGAATCTCCTTGGGTCACCTTGCATGTGCCCCTCCCTGGTCACAAGGCACCCACTCAGGTCCTGGCTCAGGCCCCCGTCACTTCTTGCCTGGATTAACATCTCCTGACCAGCATCTTTGTTCCTCGCCTCTGAAATCCACCTTCCACTCCACTACCAGGGTTATCTCCCAAAACAAAACAGAATCAATATCCTCCTCATTTCCAACTCTCAGCTGACAGCCTGCAGAACAAAATCCACACATTTCAGTCACATCATGGATTCTACAACCTGGGCCCAACCTACTTCCTGAGCTTTGTTTCCTCCGTGGACTGTGCCCTGCCGCCACGTGGGCACCTCTGAGGTTGTCCAAGCCCTCCCTGGCCCGTGTGGTTTCCTTAGCCGGGAAGACCCTGCTCTAGTTTGTCTTTCAGTGCTTATTTCTAATCCCCTCCCTCTGGGAAGGGAGTTACTCCTCTGTGCTTAGAAGTGGAGACAGAGCCAACATATTGTTTTTAATGAATGGATCAACCCTTCACTCAGCTCCAGTCAGAATTAATTTCCTTCCTCTACTCCCACAACACTAGGAGGGAAGCCCGTCAGCATAGCCCTCATTTGTCCTTGGAGAGCAGTTCATTCTTTACCTGTCTTTCTCCCAGTAGGTCATGACCTTTACTTACCTGCCACCTGTTCTCATACTTGCTGATGGAAAACACAAAATTCTCAGAGAAGCTAGGAGTGAGTCACTCATACCCCCACCTGGCTGCCCCACAGCCAGTCAATGACCCACTTTCTCAGCCCAACAGAATTGCAGTTTGCCACATGTACTTACAAATCTTGTGAGGCTTGATTCCTGTCTGGGGTGACTCTTCGCTGCTGGGCTTGAGGTTGCTGAGAAATGATTAAAGATGATTTATTGTCAGAAGGGGGTACCTTGTGATGGAAGTCAAAGGGATGAGAGACAGTGCTGCAGTAATGAACAGACTTTTCGGCAATGTTTATGATCTCATTGCACACTGCTTCCTGCGAGGTGGCCCCGAGATATCCAGAAACCCCCATAAAACAGTCAACATGGGGACAAAAAAAAAAAAAAAAAAAAAAAAAAAAGAAAGAGAGGAAGAGATGGAACATTCCAGACGAAGCACATAAGTCCAGGGAAACAACAGAGTTGAAGATCCAGGTTAAAAAAATAGATATTCCAGTAGTAGAGTGCAGGAGGGATCCAGGCGTAAGCATGGAAAACAGGTAAGATACAGAATTCAGAATTTAGTATGAATATTAAAAAAAAAGGTAGCAGCACAAAAGCCTGCAATTAGTGAGTAACTGTTACAAACAGAATAACTTCAGGATAGAAATGCAAGGATGTATCCCCAATCATGCACTAAGACATTGATTTAATCCCATATGGAGGCAGAGGAGACATGGCATCTGTAAATTCCTCTGCTTCGGTGAGAGGGAAGGGGCGGCCTAACACCTCTCTAGGACAGTAGCCACTTATAATCCTGTAACTAGTGGCTGAGCGTTAACCAGGCAATACTTCCGGCTGTACTCTGGAAGCCAGTAAGGACTCTCTTTACAAAAGCTACAGTCTTAGTCAACAGGCGTCTTACCACATAGCTCTTTTCAGATTCTGTGAGATCAGGTCCTGCGCTCAATGAATGATGAGAAGGCTGTGATCATCAAGCAAATTATAAGGGAGACATTTTAGCAGATGTCACATTGGAAAGAATTCAAAATAAAAGCGTGAGCAAATACACGTACCACACCATCACACTCGATGACACCGGACACTCGTAGCCTAGGGCCACCGAGTCTCCATGACAACACGGTGGGTGCACAGGAGAAAATGCAATGTACAGAGTTAGAAGCAAGCATCCAGGCGATGAGATGGAAGGCTGAGACATGGCTGCAGGGAGGTGAGAAGGACAACACAGGGCCCCCCGAGTGGAGGACGGACACGGAAGGGCTGCCTGAAGAACAGCTGCGTCCCTCCGTTACCACGCTTGGTCCCCTTGCTCTCCGCTGCCCAGCATCTATGGACGGGCTGCTGGACCGAAGCCAGTTTCAGTTACCTCGTCAATTGCTGGCAAAGCAGGCTCACAAAACTACTAGGCACCCCACATTTCAGTGCTCACACACCTGAGTAACACAACTGTTCTGGAAAGAGCAGCACACGACTCACTCCAGCTAGTGGGAGAGGAGTTCAGCGGTCTCACAGAGCGGGCGATCATGGTTCTTTAAAGTGGGTCTCCCACAGCAGAGGCCAGGCTGCACCGGAAGGGTATCTGAAATCATTTCCCTCCCAAAGGACTCAATCTCAAGCTCCCAGGGAGTCTCCCCAAATAAATATTTGAAGAGTCATCCTTGGAGACATCCCCCAGGCGACTCACCACCATAGCACTGAGCCTCCGCATCTCCAGGGAGACCTGTGCACAGCTCACTCATTTCAGAGAGGCCCAGAGAGGGTGAGGGCTCCTCGGGGGTCACACAGTGAGCTAGTGGGACACTTGGTTCCTGGGGTCATCGATTCTCCCCGTGGACCTTCCCTTTCATCCCTGGACCATGTCCCGCTTTCCCAAGTGTGCTCCCTGACCTTATCTTCACGGAGTCCTGCAGAAACCCTGGAGACAGGCAGGGCAGGGGTTATCAATCCCGTTTTCTTTTAGGACCCAGAAAGCTATGCTCAGCGAGAGGCAGGGAAAGTTGCTGGGTTGCTCTTCCCAGGCCACCCCTGCCCCCTCCTGCACGGTGCCACTGACATGACCTTGCCCTTACAGGCACGTCCATTCCAGGCACCAGTCTACCTTCCTGTCCCACCAGCCTAGGGGCCCAAGCTTCACTGCAACAAAGGTCACCAGTAGTCTACTCGGTGGGCTTTCACACAGCAGCAGAATGAAACTCACTCTGGGCACCCGGAGTGGGGCGTGCCTACAGGCAAGGGGAGCGAAGGGGACACTTTCTCAGAGTAAGAGCTGTCTGTTCAGCAACAGCAGGGGCTGCCTCGTGAGTGTGCTCGGCCTGTCCCAGCAGCTGTCCGGGCTGAGGCTGCGCTGACATCACTAGCTGGGATACTGCTTCTCAGACTTTCACATTCGTGGTCTCTCCTGGGATCCTGCTGAAAGGCAGGCTCCCGAGGGGCACATGGTGTGTGTGTGTGTGTGTGTGTGTGTGTGTGCGCGCGTGCGCGCACTGCTCCACAGGCTGCAGAGGCGCTCAACCATCTGACACTGATTCTCGGTGCCAGACGGACATGGGTCGCACCTCATAAAAGGAAAGTTCTCATACAAATAAAAATATTTCCCAACTCCAGCTGGGGGCCTGATAACCTCCGGTCACATGCAGACCAGAGAGAATGTGGACAATCTCTCAGAGTAGTCTGCACAGTTTACGGAAGTCCCTAGCATCTTTCAATAGACTTAATCCCAAAGTGGTGACTGGAATCGATCATCCACAAATAGTTGGTGAGTCAGAAAAAAGGACTGATATTCTGCTAAACCCTTTCTTTAATAAAGCATTTTAATAAAGCAGCTTTCAAAGCACATAAAAGTCCAAGCCCTCATCTGACTCATGCACTAACCTGGTGACATGGGGAGGGCAGAAAATGAAATGTTAAGGTTCAGGGAAGCCTGAGAGCTTGACAAGGGGGTAAAGCCCGAGAGCTGAGCCTCTGTGTCTGATCGCCAACGACAGCCCCTGGAGTCAGGAAGGGCAGCTGGTGCCACCAGCGCACACCCAGCTCAGCCTCTTCAGAAGACCAGCGTGGACCTTCTCCTCATTACCTTTTCAGCTCGTGAAAGGTGTGACGGGCACTAAAGGCACTATCCTATCCCCAGGCCTGAAAGGGATACGGATGGCCCACCTTCCTTGGTCTCAGTCCTATCGAAACCAGAAGGCAATCCTCATCATAACCTTCACATCCAAACACGCTTAACATCTGGACACACTTAACGCATCTCCCAGAGGTAGGGACGATCTGGTTCCTTATTTATCGTGTGTGGAAAAATGCAGGAAGAAGGCAAGATAAACATTTATCTTACTAGTGAGGGAGAAGGCAAGATAAACACTTACCCTATTAACTAAGATTCAATTTCTTTCCCTTTTATAAAAAATATATTTCTATTGTTTTTGTTTTTGTTTTTGAGAGAGAAACATCGATGAGAGAGAATCATCGCCTGCCTACTGTGTGCACCATTCTGGGGATCGAGCCCGCAACCCAGGCATGTGCCCTGACCAGGAATTGAACAAGTGACCGCCTGGTGCCTGGGTCGACACTGAACCACAGAGCCCACCAGCCGGGCTCAATTTCTCCCTCTTGGAAATGCTTTCCTTAGACTCTTTCTCCAAACCTATGCCATCCAATATGGTCACCAGTAGGCACATGTGACTTGGCCAGGATAAAATAGACAATGGATTTAAAAAATAAAGTACAAAGTAAAGAATGTAAAATATCTCAGTAATCCTTGTATTGTTTACATGTTAAAATTAATCTATTTTGATATATTGGGTTAAATAAAATGTTAAAATTAATATCACCTGCTTTATTTTATTATCAGAAAACTTAAGATTACATTATGTTCTCATTGGACAGCGCCACTCTGATCCCTGGTCCTCATTGTCTGCCTTATTCAGGCCTAAAAGTAGATACACGTTCTCATCCAGGGTTGAGGACCTCATCCAGGGTTGAGAATAAAGAGGGTATTATCTCATGCTAAGTGCGTGTTGAACTCTTGGAGATACAGTGAAGTTTTTCACATGTTTAGAAAACAGCAATTGGCCCAACACACATACACACACAATGCATTCCCCTTCCTTCCCCATCAACAACAGACAGGCGGTAGAATCAGATTCAGAAACAGCTTTGCTTTCTTACTCGCAAATGTACACGCCAAGCACCTCTCTTGGCTGGAGGGCTGGCTTCATTCTTCCCGGGTGAGCAATCCTGCAGCGCCCTTGCTCCGTGGCCCTGCTGCCCTTCTCGCTCCAGTTCACGCAAGTCCCTCAGAAATCCGACCCTAGCTCCCTGGGACTGTTAATCCCCCCGGATCCTCAAAACACCTGGTGCTACTGTGGAGCCATAAGCCCCTTCTTCCAGTGTTCGGTGTGTGCCAAAGCCCGAGGCCCAAAATAACGGTCCGCAGGCTAAAGGACAGAGGAACTCGACCTCAAAGTGCAGGGCCCTCCCAGCAATACCTGCCCTCCTAACCTGCCTGGGCCCTCGGAGACCGTATTCTTTTCCTCATCTCAGGCCCCATGCCTTCCCATCTCTTCATTTTGGTGACCTACCCTGGCCTCCCGGGAGGACACTGGATTATGGATGAGAAATCTGGCTTCCAGGTCAGGCTCTGATACCAATTTGTCATTTGAACAAAATGCTTAATTTCTTTGGAGTTCCAGTTCTTAGTGAAATCAGAGGGCTGGACAAGATTTACATCCATGTCCTGTGGCTGTAATGTTCCATGACTGGGGTGTAAGCACCCTATGGTTGAGAACTGGCTGAAGGGGACAGCACCCCACTCATCGCCCACTGAAGACGACAGTAGCCCCCGATGTAGAGGGGGATCTGGCCATGTGGGAAGTGAGGGGACAGGTTTGTAGCTCCTGGCACACCCTGGGCAAACTCTGCCAGAGGAGTAGGATGCCACGAGTTCTCGGGCTCCTGGGTTTTGGCTCTAGGACACCTAGAGCCATCCTGCAGTGCCCCTGCTCTGTGGCCCTCCCGTCTCTGACTCCACGGATTCTTCTGATTTTACTGAGCAAACGATCCCAGCTTAAATATAAAACCAGTGACAACCGATTAGTTCCACTGCTTGCCACCTGGACTTCATCTCCATCAGATTCCCCCACAGATTACACATTAGCTCTGCTGTAGTGTAAACCTGATGACAACACTCCCATGCTCAGCCACCTCTCCGAGTCGGGAATGTGGACTTCTGTTTCCTTCCCAAACAAGCCAAGGAGTAACGGCAAATGGCACTCAGCCATGAGGAAACCAAACGCGTTAGGCTTCCCAAGATGAAGGCTTTGTACTCCGGGCAAGAGAGAATAAGGAGAAGCAGGGATTGGCAGAGTCAATGAATTTCTAACTTCTGGATCCACACAACACAAAGTAAAGGTTTCTCCCATCACCTACATTCTTCTCTTCCTTCTCCCACCTTCCTCTCTCTGGCCGAACGGGGTAAGGAGGACAAAGTACATTACCCGGAACAGCTATTTTCCCTGTTACATCAGTATCACACCACGGGTACTTATTGTGTCTCATTATGTGCTCGGGGATAGGTGCTTTAGTCTCATGGCCTCTCATTTAATTCTCATAATAATTCAACAGAGTGATAGCCATGGACCCCGTATTACAAAACTAAGACCCAATATGTCAGAGCTGGGAATTTGAAGAACCAGGATTTGAAGCCCGGTCTCTGGCACTCCGAGTCCTGCGCGTTCCACTACACCACACCCTGATCTCTGGAGTTAGGGGGTCTGCTGTCTACCACTTCTCCTAACACTTTTCAGGGGAGACACTTCAATGCTGGGTCTTAGTTCCCTGTCTTAGATGCTGAGATGCTGGTTGTTTGTGTAAGAACTTGGCCAATGTCTCTTCGCATCCTGTAAATTGTTAAATGCCCTCGGTACTGAGAGCTCTCCCTCCTGAGGGAGCCGAAGGGAAATGATTCCCATTCTTAGTTGGCTATCTTAACATTTTAAATTTCCTTTTGGTCCTCACAAGGTGCAGCACAAGCTTTTCCTTCTGGTTCTGATGTCAGTGCCCAAAGCAGGCCTGTGTCTTTGTTCTTATCTCTCTGGGACTAACCTAGTTCCCACGTGATAAGAGATGTTCCAAGCCACCAAAGCACATCATTCTGTCGTCAGCCGAGCAGCTTTCCTTCCTCTAGGCCGCAGTTCTTGCATTTCTCAGACAGATGCTTTGAGGACACGCAGCTTTCCTGAATATTTTTATTTTTAAATGTCACGCCTTCAGGTTTTATTGTTTGACTGGCTTCCTTCCCTTTAGGAACCAAACTGACATCACAAAAGTGTGTCACTTTCCTCAGACCTCAGCTCTCTCATCTCCTCATGGAAATCAAATCGATTGGGGCTCTTAACCTGGGGCCCATGAGCTCCCAGGTGGCCTCAAGTGAGGCCCTCTTGAAACTTCACGTGGACTGTGGATGCTGGCCCGGATCCCTGGCTGACCTCAGATTCCCACAGGAAGCTAGGAGTCACTGAAATAGGCGATCTTTAAAGATGCTTTTAAATTCAGAAATTCCACGAGGCTCTCACAGGTTACAGGAGCTCAGAAACCAAGGCTGGCGTCAGTCAGCAGACAGGGCCCTGGGTTGGGAATGCTCAGTGAATGTCTGCCGATGCTCATGAAGGTTTCCGAGAGGCCCTTCTCCTGTACCCTCTGGCCTGGTTGTTCTAAACTTGCTTGGCCAAAATCATGCCCCTCAAATCCAAGAACCTGGTTGATATTCTTAACTCTTGGGCGTTTTGTGTGTATGTTTTGGTCCAATTAAGCTGTCCCTCAAATAATAAAAGGGAAAACTTTCACTTTTCAATTGAGAAGGTTCAAATGTTCATAACAAATGCCATACTTTTGTTTTGCTTTTTCTTTCAACTGAAATACACCTAGGACTTTTAGCTAATCAAGACCAGCAAAGACAGAAAGAACCCTAGTTTTCGTCTGAATGTTTTGTTAACATTCAAACTGAACTGGACTGGAAAGCCAGAGGAGGGAAGTGACTCATCCAAAGACACACAGGCTGATGGGAGCTGGAGCTGGAGCCCAGCATCCTGTCTGCACAGTGTGACTCCCCCAGGACCCTGATCTCCCCAGGCCCCTCCCCAACTTGGCCCACCTCCTTCTGCTGTTCAGAGAATACACATCTACACACACGAGGGACGGACCTGTGTGACATCAGTTTGGGAGGCTACAAAGGGGGGGAAGTCATAGGGAGTGTTCGCACATCTGCAGAGCTGGGGTGGCAGGAAGGAGTGGACAGGTGACTAAGGGGAAGGAAAGCAGTAAAGCAGGGACTTAGCACCAAAAATGGAAGTTTGACGACCCAGTCGTAAGGGTCACATGACCGTGAGGAAGCTGACTAGCCACATTGTGCTGACGAATGCCCGCCGAATGCCCACCGTGGCACCAACGAGCCCCTCCACGCTCTGCTCCAGCCTCTTCTCAACACCACCCCCCTCTCCCTGCCTACAGACGCCCTACGAGTCACTCCAACCGGGAGCTCGCCACTCCCTGTATCCCATTCACATCCCCACCCCTGGCTGTGGCAGGCCCATGTGCTTGTCTTGAATGCCACCCTCCTGCTGTTTGCCTCCCACAGAGCTCCCAGGTCAGACCCCACCTCTTATGCAGCCTTTCCAGATGGCCCTCCCCTCCTGGTGCTCGTCATCTCTCCGCACCTTGAACCTTCCGAGGGAGCTGCTGTGTGAGTCCTCCTCTCTGCATTATAATTACTGTGGACATGCCATTTCCCCCGTGGAGAGCACACACTCCTTTAGTTGGGGTCAGTCATCTTTTATCTTTTCTTTCATCCAACAAGTATTCATGGGGCGCCTTCCATTTATCACGTGTCCCAGACTCCCCCCAGAGGTCTCTCACGCCCCTGGTGACCCAGACATGCACAGGGGCAGATGCCGGAGAGCTGAAGACGTGCCCCGCAGGGGAGGTGCAAGGGCTGTGGAAGCACAAGCCAGAGCCTTTACTCTGCCTCGCAGGGCGGGAGGACGCCAGGAAACGCTTCTGGAAGGCGTGCAGGCAGGTGGACACGCCCAGGCACACGGCAGGGGAGCTGAGAGGTGAGGCTGGCTGCTGTGCGCACAGCCCGGCACATGGGCTGCTGAGCCTAAGGGACGCTTTCCCCAGAACAACAGGAAGAGCCCTGATGACCTCCCCTCTGTCTCTCTCAGACTTCGCTGGGGGCCTGGCCATCCCTGATGCTTGGATGGAAGAGAAATGATCACAGCGTTTCAGAACATCTGCAGTTTTAAGGCTCCCAGGCAAAATTCCCTCTCTCACTGGTCAGATACACTTGAATTTTTGGTTCAGCTCCCACAGCAGAAGAGTGGCCGGCAGTGCTCCTGGTGACACAGGCTGGTCTGGGGCACATTTATCTCAAGTGACTCAGCCTGGGCTCGCACCACCCTGACGGGCCACTAAAGAACAGTGTCACTTAGTCCTTTCCATCTTGAGCTGTCACCCAGAGGGCCTTGCAAGGCAGGGAGCTGCTTTTGAAGGACCCTGTTTCCCCAGTGTCGGGGTCCTGTTCCCAGGCACAGGAGGGACAGGGAAGGGGCTGGGAGGGCGGTGTGTGGGCAGAAGCCCCTTCCCCACTGCCCTCCCGCTTTCATAGGGAGAAGGCCCACAGCCTGGGCGCCACATGGGAGAGAGGAGAGAGGGAGGGACGAGAAGTGGTCCACTGGAGGCCTGGAGGCCACCAAGAACGGAACATCAATTTTATCAAGCCCGGCCTCCGCATGGCCAGCTCCTCCTCTCGTCCCCTCCATCAGGAAGGGAGAGGGCACACCCCCAGCCCGGCCCAGGGCTTGGCACCACGCACTTCCTGTGCTGCTGGGCCCAGAGGCAGGTCGCCGTGACTCGCTGCTAACAATGAGGTCTCCGGGCACCACGACTGACCGGGAACGTTTACAGAACTGTTCCTGTGTCAGACATTCAATTCTGTCCCACCAGCCACTTCAGCACGTCTCCCCAATGAGCTATTCTTTCCCTCCCCGGCCGCACCCTTTTCTTCCCCAGTGCACACACGCTCCAGGAGCACCTGCAGGCCCAGCCTCCCCAGGTGCTGCTGTTCCCCTCAGGACCACATCCACCCTGTGGAGCCCTCCCCAGGCCAGGCACCACTCTTCCTAGTTTATCCTCACAGCCACCCAGTGGGGAGGGACCGCCTTGCACAGGAGAAGCCCGTGCTGGGAGGTTCAGTGGCTGCCAGTGTGAGGCTGGCCTGGTGGTTATACTGCCCACACTGCCCTCCCGCAGCACACGGCCCCTCCCCCTGAGGGCTGGAGCTGGAGGTCTGGCCTCACTTGCATTTGGGTCTCTGTGGGCTCCAAGGGCCCCTCCATTACTGCAGTCCTGGCGCTGGGACCCAGGTTCTTGAGGACAGGGATGGATGACTTCTGCCCCCTGCCCCAAGGTGGTGTCTACAGGTCTTGAGCAAGTATTTGTTGAGTGAAAACTGAAACTTCAAAGGGAAATGGGAACACCAGGTCTGAGATCAAGCATTCTCCTGTGGGCATCATACACAGCAGACAACGAACTGTTTGGAGCAACATTGTCAAGAATTCCATTGGGTGCTAAAGACGTTCTAGAATGTTCTCAGTTCCAGAAGCAGCTCTAGGTCACCCGAGATGGGTGGCTTCCATTTACAGAATGCTGACCATGCTCCGCCCCAGCCCCTGTGCTAGCACTTCTCTCACGTGACTTCCTGGAACCCTCTCGACCACTCTCTGAGGTAGGTGTCATCAGGTCCACTTTAAAAATGGGGAAACTGAGGCTCTGAAAGGGAAGTAAGTCCCAAGTCACTAGACATTAGGAGGTAAGCAGGCATCCACACCTGATTCTTGGACAGCTGGGGTACTGAACGCAGGGCGATGAGAATCGTGATAAAATTGCCACGCTCACCTCCCCCCAACAACAAATTCTCAGCGTGCAGACACCCTGCAGCCACCTTGGTCCACACTCAGAGATCTTTGCAGCTGACACGGACAGAGGAGAGGACAGGCACGTGAGGAGCTGGCATGCCCATCCAGGGACCCAAATCTGGACGCTCCTCCCGAAGCAAAGCGCACTTGTTCACGGTGAACAAAGGCCTGTGCACCCACAGACAGACAGGACGCGGACCACGGAGGGCACGGCAGCGCCACGGAGCAGTTCTCGCACAGAAGCAAACCACACTGAGCACACCGAAGCCTGGGCTCTAGCAGTTAGTCCGAGCAAACCGAGCTGATCTCCGCAGCAGGGCTGGGTGGGGGAGGCTTCCTTCCTTCCCAGGGGCTGGTGCGGCAGACGGGGGCGGGGAGTGGGGGGAACACACGACTTTGGAATCCCCTCCAATGGCCAGAATGGAGCCTGTCTTCTGCCCCTGACTTCCCAGCCCTGACCCTTCCTCAAGGCCCCCCCTGTTCCCTCCTGGGTATTTCTGCTCCCAAGACAAGCAAGTGGGTCTCCCTGGCATCCCGTGGCCTCGGCAGGCGACCGTGGGTGAGAGGTCGGGCCCGCCTGCCGATGGAGACGCCAGGGCACACACGCCATGCTGCAGCCTACCTGGCGCACACCGCGCGGAGCAGCCTTCGGCCCGGCCTGCTCACCCCCTCTACGCGGCGCCGTGTGCTCAGCCTCCCTTCCCGGGAAAGCGCTGCCCGGGGCCTGGCCGGGCTGGCTCTCCGCGGGGGCGCAGAGGTCTGAGGGTCTCTGTTCGGTGCTCAGGCACCTGACCACGTCTGAAGGTTTCAAGCAGCTCTTCTTAGAGATCGTGGGTCCGCCCGGGCGCCTCTCACCTGCCTCCCTCTCTGCTTTCCTGCCGTACTGTCTGCTTTCCTCTCGCCATGGGCCCTGGCTGCTGAAGGCGTTGCTAAGCTCCGAGATGACGCTATCGGGGCTCCCGAGCAGAGGCTGGGAGAGGCTGCCCTGCGGGAAGCCTGGAGGGGGCCTGTGGCTGCCACTGTCTCCGTTGACGTGAAGGGAGGCCTGGGCACTGGGCACCGGGGAGTAGGCTCGGTGGGGGGCAGGGAGGGCCAGTGGGGAGACGATGGAGTGGGGGGTGGAACGACCCGACCAACTCGAATGGGGGAGGCTGAGGGACAGGGGGGGACTAGGCCTTGTCAAAAAAGCAAGGTGGTCAGAGTAATAGACAGATGCCTCCGGCAGAGGAGGCAGAGGGGGGGTCAGGGCCAGGGGACGCCGGCCTGGGACCCCCACGGTCAGCGAGATCCACTCTGAGGTGACAGCCTGCATCTCAGGGGACAGGGCTCGGCGGGGGTGAGGCAGAGATGAGGAGGCTGGCAGGATGAGCTTGCTATGACTGGGAAACTTAAAAAGAAAAGGAGAGAGAGGAAAACAAAAGAAAGAAGCACAAGGTAGAGTCAGCTTAAGGAAGAAAGGAGGGAATAACCACAGGGACACGCGGAGAGGCTGAGATGGAGAGAGCGGGGCATGGTGTCCAAAGGAAGCTGTCTGCTTAGGCTCAGAGAGAAGCTGGGATGTGAGTGTGCGTGTGTGTGCGCACACGTGTGTGTGTGTGTGTGTGTATGCGTGATCATGTGCAGGTGGGGAGGGTGAAGAAGTGAGTGGAGTGGGGGAAGAGGTAAAGGAAAAGGGGGGGGTCCCGTTGGGCACTTACATGCATGCCACCTGGTCTGCAGAGTCACTTCCAAAGGGACACACTGGAAGCTACCTGTCTGTCCCACCAACCACCTGGACAATTGAGGCTCTGACCCAGAACCCAGGCCCTGACCCAGAACCAGGGCCCTGACCCAGAACCGGGGCCCTGACCCAGAACCGGGGCCCTGACCCAGAACCGGGGCCCTGACCCAGAACCAGGGCCCTGACCCAGAACCAGGGCCCTGACCAGAATTGAGGAAAAACGATGACTTTCCACTGCCCCGGCCTTGCCTGGGTTTTATTCTCTCCAGAGGGCTCAGCAAAGAGCCTTCCAGAGAGGAGAATGAGCAGGTGGTCAGTTTATAGTCTCACTTGGCTATTGTCAGGCAAAACATTGAGTTGAAGTCCCTGTCATATAAAGTAGAAGGTGCTGCACGATCTCGCACCTTATGCCAGCACCCATCTCCTGGGTCAGCCCTGGGGATCAGAGAGGAGAAAGTGACAGGAGGAGAGGAGAGAAGACCATCCACTGTCCCCCGGCCCGGGCCTGCGCTCCTTCCTCCCGACAGCCCAGAGGCAGCAGGCGGGGCTCTGGCAGGAAGTCGCCCACACGCCTCCCCCGAGCCCCAGGTCCTCACTTTTTGTGGCTTTGGGGAAGTGGGGATTTGAAATAATTCATGTTTTAAAACCAGTTTGCTCATAATGAATGTTCAGGAAAGCGAACATTTTTTGATATAACACAGACATGTTCTCTGTTACTTTTTAACCTGGTCTCCGCTTGCAAAGGGTACTCTGGGTCTGTGTCTTTTGCAGCCAATCTTGACCCATGTGGTGACCGAGGACGACTGCTCACGTAAGAACAGTGGAGGCACCCCGCCCGCTTCACCGGGTACGCCCGGCACAGAGTCCTGGACCAGCTGCCAAAGGCTCCGATTTCTCTCCCTCTGTCACCTTATCCCAGAGCAATCTCCTGAAGCTCTCCCTTTTCCCCAACCAGGTGTGTGATAATATTTCTCCAACCAAGTGTGTGACAAGTGCCATTTGTATGCATGAAGACAGGCCCGGATCTGTATATGCCCCCTGCTGAGCACGGCTCTCAATCATGGGCTGAGGAGCCGCCCTCGGGGGGCTGTGCCCTCAGCACCGAGGGGCTGTCACGCCGATTGTGAAAACCAGTGACAAGACGCGTAGGTACCTGTGGGCTCATGGTGGCACTACGACTTGGGGAGGAGTAAGGCAGGTCGATGTAATCCACCGGGTGTTTAACCAGTGGCCTTTTGAGCACGTCCACGTAGGTGATGGGGAAGATGCCTTGCCGGGTCGTCCCCGGGATTCTCCCTTCGTACCAGTTCTCGTCCACCTGTCGGAGCAGCGTGATCCTCTCACCCTGGAAGACACAGCAAGGCACGGTCCGTGTCCCTCCCTGCCCCAGCACCTTGCGGCCCTGCCTGCACCCCTCGCTGTGCTGCTGATTTAGCACACTCTTTGCTCACATGAACCTTCCTTGCTAGACCTGGAGAGAATTACTATTCCTGGGATGGAGATGTTCCCAGCTGTGGAGCTACCTGGGTGCTGGAAGTTGAGCTTGGCCTGTAGATATTTCCATGAAGAAGGTCAGACTCATTTCCCCAAGCTAGCAGGCAAATGGAGTGTTTTCACTCACTGATTGCAAAACGGACAGATATGCAAACTTCTTCTCTAAGGCAAAGGTTTTTTGGGAGGGGTTCTCTTTTTTCTTCCTTTTTCTAACTTTATTTTTCCTTGTATCATTATAGAAAAATTAAGACACAAGCAAATAAAAAGCTGAAGTAATTGTCACCTATAATATTATCACTTGGGGTAACTACTGTTAATAATTTGATATATGTACTTCCCAGGTTGAATTCTGTATCTGTGAATTGGACTTGCACATATATTTTTTTTTTTATATAAAAGCTGAGTATGCACTGTATTTCCCTTTTCCAATTCATTTTTTTTTTTTTTATACTTAACAACATGTAGTGAGCCTCGTTCTTTCTCAAGAAAAAGAATACTACGTTTCTAAGTGTGGGCAGCGTGCTGGGCCACTGTGGGACATCCCACTGCACACGCACGCACCGAATCAGCTGCCATTCAGCTGACACTCGTTGCTTCCAGTATTTCTACTTTTCTGTGAGGAGCTCATCTTTAGCTAAGGCATGTCCTCACTTTCCTCAGTCCTCAATGAAATGAATAACTTTGAAAAGCCAGAGAACTTTGACAGGCAAAGTGTTGGAATTCCTGGGAAGAACATGTCTCTGCCAGCTTAATTATGTTCAAAATACGCAAGCCAAACCCTGACTACTGCGGCTAAACCCGAACGCTAGCCTAAGGTTTATTTTTAAAAGTATCTCAAAATCATCCAGTTGCGCCCTTCATGCCCCCTTGACTGGTGCATCTTTACGGGGTTGCTGCCCTGTAATGCCACCTGCCGTGAGAACAGGGCCGCCCGCAGAGCCCGAGGCACAGGGGAGAGGTCTTACCTTCCGGAAGGACATTTCTACTTGCGTATCCCCATTGAAGTTGAACTTTGCAATAGCTTCTCCGTATTCCAAAATCTGCACCGGTGCCAACTTTTTGGGCTGAGCCTTCTCCGCAGGAGGAAGAAGCTGGGAAAGGCAAAGAGGTAAAAGGGAAGAAAGGGGGAACATGAGAGGAAACAAAACACATGTTCTCAATAAACAAACGGCCCTTTGGGCACAGCTGGCCTTTCCCTAGCAGAAGAAAGGGGCTGCGGTACCTCGATGTAGGTGCGCGGGAAGATGCCCACTCGGCCGTGGTGCTCGCCTTCGTACCAGTTCTGGTCAATCTGCTTGTAAATGTAAACAATATCTCCCTTCTGCAGAGGAAGCTCCCTGTCAACAGAGGGTACGCATTTTAGCAGAGGTTTCAATGCCTGTGAGGTTCAGACATGTAGTTTTTTTTTTAGCAAAAGACGTGAAGTGAGGCCAAAAGGACCACCTGACACAAGCGGGGCTCCCTATTGGGAAGTGAGAACCCTTCGAGGCGGGAAATTACATCATCTCTGGCACTTTTCTGGGCTTTCAGAGGCTGGATGCTAACTTTCAAACTGACCAGTTCTGGAAAGTGCTCAGGAGCCTATTCGCTTGTTGTGGTTTCTCTAAGTAGTTCTTGAGAATGCTGTGCTGTGCTCACGGTTTACAGAACACCTAGCAACGCACTAACTAGTCGTAACTGATGTTCATTCAATGATGACAAGCGTTTCCTTCTCAACACTTTTACTGCCTTCCCTACCCTCTTCTCTGCCCTGCCGAGGCATGCCTTCAATGCTTTAAATTATCATCAAATTATTTCTCTGATATCAATATTCCCGATTGTTCCATCCATCTCACCATCCATCCATCATCATGCAGTAGAGAGGCTAAAATTGGGCAGATCTGGGTTCAAAATCCAGTTATACCATCTACTAGCTCTGGAACCTTGGGCCAAATGCTCTCTCTCAGATACTTTATCAGAATAGGAGCTAACTCAGAGTTGTTGGAGAATTCAGCAACAAACTACAAATAAAACACCCAGCCCAGTGCCTGGCATGTAGTTAGCACTCAGTAAATGTTAATTCACTTCCTGTCAGCATAAAGGGATCTTGGAAAGAAAAGCAGGTTTTCAAATGTTCTTCATGCCCCCTTTCCAACCTCTTCATATCCATCCCTTTGTTTGCCTCAACAATGATGATGTTAACCTCTAATCAGGACTCCCTTTAAAAAAAAATAGAGACAATACGAAGACATAAAGTGAGAACAAAAATTGTAACTTGAAATTTTCTGGAATTGAAAACACACGCGCGTAGATCTTTTCCATTTGTGCCACACCAACCGCCGCGAGAGCAAGGTCTCTGCCTGCAGTCTGGAGGGGTGTGGCTGCTTTACCCTGTGCCAGGAAGTCCCATGGACATGAGAGATGCTGGCTGAACAGTGGGGCCACATCTGGAAAACCTTACACAAAGCCAGCGCTGTGCCGAACGAAGGAACAAGGCCGCCTTTGTGGTCCCTCACTGGTAGACGGGACTCTGATCCGAAAGAAGCCCTTGAAGGGATCGGGCATCCGTCTCTGGGAGAAGGAATGTGTTTGGCCAGATTTTGGCCATCGTCCTCCTTGGGGTGCTCTGAAATCACCCTCCCTTTACCCAACCATGGCCACCCGGGGAGCAGGACCCTCGGCATAGCCACGGGTGCTGGCGGTCTGCAGGCCCAACGCGGCCACCTACGTGACTTGCAGCTGCTCAGGCAGGTGGGAGCCGCAGGGGCCCCGCTGTTAAGAGCTCTTCTGAGTAACAGGCTATGGGGGAAAGAGAACCCAGTGACTGCAGACGTTTGAGACGCTGCTCTAACTGTTTGGCGGCAGCGGGGCAGGACGAAAGCCCCGTCCGGAGAGAGGCGCCCTCTCCAGAGCCCTCACTGTGGGAGGTGGCGACCGTCCTGTCTACCTCAGATTTCTCATCTCTTCTACTTGACAGGGTTGCTCTAAAAAAAAAAAAATTGTTTTAAGACTTTAAAAAATGAAATGTAGGTAAATGTAATATTGTCAATACGATACCATTCAATGAATACTACATGGACCTTTCTTAATTAAAAAGAAGGGGGATGAAGGTGTCTACTTGATTAAACTAAAGTCTATTTTATAAATCTTTGTTACCCTCTCTGGTTACATCATGCATAACGTTTTGTAAGTGTAATACCTTGGCTGCCCTTCAAGAGAGGCATCTTTATGCCCATTTTACAGATGAGAAAATCTGAGGCAGGAACGGCCATGGACACAGAGACAAGGGTGGCAGTCAGGACTCCAAAGCCCATGCTCTTTCTGGGACATAATGCCACCGCCTCTTGTTAGCTGCTGAGCCAAAGGGCTGGAGGCGTCATGACAAACATACCCCGGCACCAGACTGGGGCCCAGGTCCTGGAAGTCGTGGCCTGGTTTGTGCTGGAGATCGCGGCCTAGCAGCCTCCACACAGCAGTTCCCGTGTCTGAGGATGGGAGGTCTCCCTCATCGTCAGACGTGGGGCCTCCCACCAGCAGGACGACGGGATGGCTGCTGGCCACTGCTGCCCACGGGAGCTCCGTGACACAGCAGAATATAGCGCACAGCACTCAGAACAGTGCTCGGCACACGGCGAACGCCATGAACGACTGGTTTTCATCACTGCTACTTCCCCTGCTCTTCTCTCGAAGTGGACGCCTGCGTATAGAGAGGCAGTTAAAATGACAGACAAATAGGACCGGTGGCACTTACTTCAGTGTCTGAGCTTTAAAGTCAAATTTGGCTCTGGCAGGTCTCATCTAAACACAAGAAACAAAGTCAAGTTAAAAATCAAAATTCACAAATGGTGGACAGGACACATTTTCACGCGTTTCCGGAAAGCAAAGCAGAAAGACGCAATCTAACCAGTTCATTCTGGGGTATACATCTGGGCAGGATTCCTCTCGTGTGACCTCAGCAGAACACTAGGTGGATGCTTGGTCAGCTACGTCATGTGTGAGACTCTCCCCAAGGAGGGCCAGATTTGGGGAGGAGGTGGTGACAAAAGTCCCAAAGCTGACGTTCTAGTTCCCCGCAGCTGACCATCGCTATGAAGACAAAAACAAACTAATAAAAAAGGAAAAGGGAGCTAGCCAGAAAGCCTGACTGTGTGGGCTGTGACTGTCCTACTCTTATATCCTGTTTGCCTGGCTTAAATTATGACCTGCAAGTAGATGAAACCCCAATTCCCCTCTCACGTCATCTTCAACTTCGTCCGTCCATTTCGCCGTGTGCCGAGCCCATGAGACTGCCCACAGCCAGATGCAGGGGGCCCTGCGCTCATCCTTTCTCCAAGGCTCCCCTGCCTGTCAGGTGACCCTCTCCTTCCAGACGCCAGGCCTGGGCGCACCCTTAGCCCGTCTCCCCGCCTTCCTCAGTCTGCCATGAAGTCAGCCTCTCCCTCCACAGCCCCGCTCAGGTCTGACTGGTTCACAGGCACAAAGCTTCCTTTGACTTCACTTCTCTTCGCTGTAATCTGCTGTCACTCAGGAGCACAAAGAACATTCCTCAAATGCTTCCATCACATCACTTCCTGGCTTTGAGGTTGGCTGAGGCTCTCAACTGCCCTCAGATCAAATCTCAGTTCCTAAGTGTTATGAAGGCCGGTGGGTAATGTCTCCCCTCTCACACCTAATGGCCTTTATCTCTCATTACACTCTTCCCGTCAGGCAAGTCTGTTTGCTACACCTTGGCTGAACCGCCTTCTCGGTCAGGAATGTTTTCATTTCCAATTCCGGCAAAAAGAGCAAGAAGTTCACCTTTACTTACCCCCATATGTATTTGCGCATCTGTCTTCCCCACCATTAAAAGTAGTTATTTTAGCCCTGACCAGTTTGGCTCAGTGGATAGAGCGTCGGCCTGCAGACTCAAGGATCCCAGGTTCGATTCCGGTCAAGGGCAGGTACCTTGGTTGCAGGCACATCTCCAGTGGGGGGTGTGCAGGAAGCAGCTGATCGATGTTTCTCTCTCATTGATATTTCTAACTCTCTATCTCTCTCCCTCTCTGTAAAGAATCAATAAAATATACACATATAAAAAAAGTAGTTATTTTAACTAATTAAAAAAAAAAAAGTAGGGGAGAGAAATCATGTGAGCAATATAGCTGCCAATATAATTCTGACCCCATGACCACCTGGTCTAGGGGAACAATGTGACGGAAATTAAATCACACACTTCCTCTTTCAATATTAGAGGCCATGGCCAAAGTACAGGGGAAATGGGCGACTCTAGGTAAGAAAGGTGGAACTGAGAAACCTCATCAAGCTTTAGCTCCTGACCCCTCAGTGAGACGCCCATGTGACCAGGCTCCTCAAGCTGGGGTCTTGGAGGGACCTTCTTAAGGGCATGAACTCTCCACAGGAATTTTTTATTTTTCATCTTCATGCTGATGCTTCCATCCTTCTATCTATATGCATATTAGAGGTCAATTGAAGGATGACCTTACAACCAATGCTACACAGTCTCAATGCCTACTGTGTCTGTGACCAAGGGACACAACTGAACAGCTGTGGGCAAATAAGAAAAGAACGGATGTGGGTGGATGATAAATGACAAGAGAAAATGACCGAAACTGCAAGGACAAACATTGCAGAGTGACTGCAATGAAAGTGGTAGCCACCCCTGACAGCTAGCGCCAGAACTGTGTGAGGTAAATATTTGCACCAAACAGCGCCATCTGCACACTTGGGGTGGCAACTGGGTTCAGGCAAAGTGATATGACCTATCAGTGAAATGAATAAAGTTGTACAGGAGTGTAGTTTATTGTTTAATTTGTGAACTGGCTTAGGTCAAAACTGGGGGTTGGTGAAATTTCTTTTTTCATTAAAAGAAACCCATCTATTACTCAACGCTGAGCAACACTGATTTCACTGACCTGCTGGGACGTATTACCTGAGCCACCATTGCTTGTACACTATCTCCCTCTGTCTTCCTAATCTCCCTGGGGCTGGATGCTCTGGCTCCCACAGCGCTGTGCTCCCTACCACAGCAGAGACACCCCTTTCTACCACAGACACCTGTTTGGAGGGGCCTCTCCTGCTGGACTGCCAGCTTCCCAAGGGCACAACCTGAGTCTCGGTCCCGCCTCCCCACAGGGTCTTGCGCAGAACCAGTGGTCACCCAAAGTCTATGTGACGGGTCTGAAGTGTGTCTACATGGCCTGGTGCCCTGGGACTTGTTGGTGTTCGTTTTCTCATGTCTGTCGGCCAACATCGAGGGCAGTGATTTTCAAAGTGTGGTCCCTAAACCGGTATCACCAACGTCATTGGGAACTGGTTAGAAATGCACACTCTCAGGCCAGAATCAGATGCTTTGTGGACGGAGCCCAGCCTCCTGTATGTGAACAAGCCCCTAGGGGATTCGAGAACTCAGAGTGAGAGAACAACTGCTGTGGAGGGAGGCAGGAGGGCTGGGCAGTGTGCCTGCCTCTGTCATGGTTATTCTACCCCAGCTGCATTCTCACGCCCGTGTGCTGTCTATCCGTGTGAGTGTGCAGGCCTCGGTGCCTTGGCGTGTTCCCATCTTCCTCATCACTCTCGAGAGAGCCCGCCCAGAGAGGACCAGCCACCACTGTAGCCTCAGAACCGGTGGCTTCGAGAAGCTGGCACAAGAGGCCAAAAGGCGTCCTTCTCTCGAAACTAACCAACCTTGCGAACTCCTGCCTCTTCCTATGACCTTTTCCCCCATCATGTTAGAGTCTCCGTCCTCTCTCTAGCTTCCCGTCTTCTAATCTGGCTCCTCCTTTTCTCTACCTCTTCTTCCCAGACAATCTGACCACTAGCCAGTGCCGCCTCTGTCACTCAAAAGATAGAAAAATGAGTATTCATCTACTATTAAATTGAAAGATGATAAAACTGTCTATACTTTGGGTGGAACTCATTTCTACAGCCCAAGCCGCAGACACGCAGGCCCCCAAAAGGAGCCAACCTCAGCAGGGCCCCTGGAGGGTCATGTGGCAAAACGAACTCTGGCGCAAGAGGCAGCCTTGGCAGCACGAGAATTTCAACATGCCGACCTCAGGGGAGGAGGCCGGGCCTGAACAACATCACTTCAAAGGTTTCTGCTTCTTTGTTTGTTTTATGATATTAAGTTTCATAACCTCAGCTGAGAAATGTCAAAATTAAGGGAACAAATGGAATGCCTCTCACCCTCCATGAACTCGTCCAGCTGCAAAACGCCTCAGTTTTAAAATGCACCAGTGAGGCTGTTGGGCACTTAACCCAGTGCCTCACTGAACCACCGAGGCAGTATGGCTCTGACAGTTCAATGTTAAGGGACTACATTTCGAGGTCGGTGTAAAGTAGGGGTGTCGAACTCAATCAGAGAAGGGGCCAAAATCTAAAATCCAGCCTAAATCGCGGGCCGAATGGTTTACCGAACAGTCATAAACTGTCATTGTGATGGAAACGCAGCGGAGTGCAGTGATGACAGCACGGTGCGGGCCACATTGCAAGGCCTGGCGGGACGGATTTGGCCCGCGGGCCTTGTGTTTGACACATGTGCTGTAAAGGATGCAATGCTAGCTAACTTCTGTAACCTACGTTTCACTCCCCCATCTCTTAGAAGAACCTTGTCCTTGGCCACACCGAAGCTAACGCCCAGGGACCAAGGTTGAAGGTTTCTAAGCAGAACGCACAGGCAACACTGTATCACGATGAAAGGCAGGATGTGGACGAGTGGACGCATGGAGGCAGCCGATGCTCTAGGCATGCAGAGGGCATGTGCCAGCAGACCCCGGTCCCGCAGCCAGGCATGCTTGAACATACAGAGCATAGGACATGATGGGACTCATGTCCACGGACCAGGCACAGCGAGCCAAAGCGAGCCTAGGGAAGCCAGGATGACAGAACTAATCCGGCCTACAGCGGGCGATGCTGAGGGGAGGCAAATATGGCGTTGGGTCAAGCAGCAGATCCGAGGCGACCAAAACAGACCTCTGACCCAGATTTCCTTTTTGCCGTATCGTCTATATTGAGGAGGTCCCCAAAGCGCTCATTAGTGATAAACTGATGGTGCGTCGGAATGACGCCCGTGTGGCGTCGAGCTGCGATATCGGCCTCTTCTTGCTCGCGCTTTAGTCGTCGCTGGTCCGCTAAAAGTTTCTGCCATGAAATTGCATAAAATGGGCAGTGAATCATCTGGTCCAGGGCACTGGAAAACTGCCAACAGAAACAACTGAGGAGAAGGTGCTGGGTCAACAGGAGGGAAGTTCAAGGGTTAGACGCTGGAAGGGCTTAATGGTCATGTTCCACTATGACCCCCCCCCCCCCTGGAGCCACTCCGCGTAGGAAGGAGACAACCCTGCACAGGAGAAACCGGAGGACAGTGGGACACGGCGAAGGAAAAGTCCACCCAGTTACACAGTCTGCAACCTGCCCCTGGCACAGCCCAAAGCCTCTGACCTCCTCACACGGGCAGCAAGGCCAGGTGGCCCAGGTCCATCCATGCATCCAGACGCATGCTGGGCCAGTGGCAGGAGGCTGGCAGTGCTGCCCTTACCTCGTGGGGCAGCAATGAGTTCCCACAGCTGTTCCCACAGTGGGACTGGGGCTGGCTGACTCCTCTACCCACATCTGACCTACTACACCTGCTATGGGTGTTTATTCTGTGGGGTCAAGGCCAACGAGGTCACTGCTGTGCTTCTTATGCCTGTTACTCTAAGATGGTGGACAGAGTGGAGCTGCCCACTTCAGCAAACAGCTCCTCTTCGAGGCCAGCGATCTTCTCTGGGCACAGCTTTTAGGAGGCCTCAGCCAAGGCCATGTTTGACTGGCAGAGCATCTGTTACTTTCTTGCTATTCTTTTAAACATTACTGTTTCTTCATTAGGTGAAATGAAACTGAGTTTGATTTGTGGATTTCCAGTGCTCGGTAAATTATTGTGGAGATTAAATAAGACAAGACCATGAGGTGCTCTGTAAGCACATGGAGCCCTGGTCTCCGGCTCTGCCTGGCAACCACCACCTCTCACATCCCTTCCTGGATGAACAAGGGGGTGACTAGATGACCACGGGTGTCCCTGCCAGGGCTGACATGACCTTTTCCTGGAATGCCACCATCATCAATGTCAATGTGAATAAGAAAGCGTTTGCTAGAAACACGCCAGCACCGGTGCTCCTTGAGCTGGGAAGGGGGAATGGATTGATGCTGAGGCCAGACCTCTGGTGCTGGAACGGGGGAATGGATTGAGCTGGGAAGGGGGAATGGATTGATGCTGAGGCCAGACCTCTGGTGCTGGAACGGGGGAATGGATTGAGCTGGGAAGGGGGAATGGATTGATGCTGAGGCCAGACCTCTGGTGCTGGAACGGGGGAATGGATTGAGCTGGGAAGGGGGAATGGATTGATGCTGAGGCCACACCTCTGGTGCTGGAACGGGGGAATGGATTGAGCTGGGAAGGGGGAATGGATTGATGCTGAGGCCACACCTCTGGTGCTGGAACAGGGGAATGGATTGAGCTGGGAAGGGAGAATGGATTGATGCTGAGGCCAGACCTCTGGTGCTGGAACGGGGGAATGGATTGAGCTGGGAAGGGGGAATGGATTGATGCTGAGGACAGACCTCTGGCCAAGGTCACGTGAAGTGACAGTGCTCTGGCCAAGGTCACGTGAAGCCAGAGAAAGTGGACAGGGAATGGAGCACTTGAATGTGACCTCGATAAATCCACCTTCCTCCTAGTTTAACCACATAAGCCAATACCCTGGGAAAGACGTAGTTTTTAAGGGCCTGTGAGCAATGTGATTCAGGAACCGAGCTGCGCACCTTCTGAATGTACCTCTCAACATACTAAATGGTTAGACCAACTGCATAAAACACGCCTCCAGCGTGGCAGGCGGCGTTCTATCACAAAACCTTCCGTGCTGGGCATTCGGTCTACACAGCGCGTGGGAATGCCTCCTCCGGCCCAGCTTCCGGCTGCAGGGCGGCTCTTGTGGCTCAGACGGTGACGAGAACCGAATCTGCTCTGTGGCCTCATGAACACTCACGGTGTCCGAGGTTTTCACCTTGTTATTACCAACTACTCTATTCATAGATCCTTCCTCTTCTTTCTCCTGTGGACGCAGGCCAGAGTCTTACTGAATACTGCCTGCGTTATGCCGGAGAGGGGAGACCATGTCTTTTCTGTCTTTTGATGCACCATCCAGCTCTCCCCAAAGTTGGTCTCACCCCCAATCCTTAAGGAAAACCCACCCAAACCCTGAAACCACTATGAAACAGAACCACCAGGGACTTCAGACTCTGCAGAGAGAGGAAGAGCTGTGTAGACTTGAACACCCTCCACCTCCTGCTGCCGCCGGACTCCGGCCTTCCTCCACCTCTTCACTCAGGACAGCAACAGGCACTGCAGCCCATTTCCGCTACAAGACACATTCTCCTGGGGACGCAAAGCCTAGAAAGCTCGCCTTGGACCAACACTGTGTACAGCAGACGCTGCGATGTGGCCCAGTCAACGGAGGGCCAGCGCGGCCGCTTCCTGAATCCCAAGGGCACGCACAGCTTTCCCTGCCCTGTCAGCTATGCCTCCGCCGCTGCAAGGAAAGGGCTCAGCCTGAAGCTCTTGGTGGGGGTTTACTAACATTTACTGGGGCATCTCTTCTTCTGAGTTCAAAGGCAACTTCAAATGGCTGCCTTTTAGTGACCACAGTATGTACATGGTCATCATTCCTCTCCAGTTTCCTCTTTCGCCTACTGCATCCTTCCCAACGTGCACCGTGCCTGGTGCCAACAGAGGGATGGCAGTACTGGAGGAACATGTGAGAGGATTTCCCTGGAGAATAATAAGGCCGGGGTATGGAGGAGGGATGAAAGAGCAAAGAGCAATACAGGGTGGGCAACATAGCATTCAGAACCCAGTGCCTTGGGAAAATCTACTTTAAGGGAAAGAGAACTAAAAGAGGCCTGACTGAGCCAATGTCACATAAAAAGTCATTTCTGACAAAGCGAATCTTTGCTTCCAACTGCTAGGCCATGTCCTCTCTCTGGCAGATATCTGGGATGTTCACTTCCTTCATGTTTTTATCTGCCCCAGAGCCAAGAGGTTTTAGAAATGGCACTTACTTCTTTATCGTCATGACGCCTCCGGATGAATTCTTCCGTGGATTCCAAGTAGTCAGCTGGTATAAAATGTCTCGGTGATTCTGAATCTTCAAAAGAACAAAGTGGAATTAAAACAGGCAAAGATTCAGTGGGAAACCAAACTGGGAAAAGATTTCACCTTTCATCCATTCTAAATAGCAAGATTTTTTTTTTTTTTACAGCTGTAGAGACCAGTGATCAATAATCAAATTCCAAACGAAAGAACCCTCGAATTCCCCCCACGTTTTGGATTCACTCGTGAACTAGTGTAATACAAAACCCCTTAGAAGGCAAAAGGTGAGCATAAAGAGAGGACCTTCTCGGACAAGTGTCCCTGCTAAGAGGCGTGCAGGATCTCACAGGGACACTGTACACACACACACACACACACACTGGGCCACCGGGAGAGGCTGCCTCTCAAAAAACCACGGGGAGTCGGGGTTGGCGCAAACGGCAAGGGGCACAAGGGTTCCAACGAACCAATTTCTCAGGGGAGCTAAGCGGCCAATTTTTCTTTCGAAACAGTTTGGAGGTTAGTCTAGATGACATGGGGGCTTTGTTTTTGAAGAAGTGCAGCCACTACGAGCCATGATTCATTGCCAAGCAAAACAAACAGAAAACAAAGGACGGACCAGAAGATGAGCACCAAGGGCACACAGGAGGAGGGGACAGAGCAAGCAGAGCGGAGACGGGAGCGGAGACGGGGCAAAGACACAAAAGGCCACCTCCGCGGGACGGTCCCGGCTCCCCGGGGGGGTTGTTGTTTCTGTCCAGGCCGTGGTCTGAGTACGGCACGGGGTTCCCATTATCAAAGGCCCCCGGGCAGTCCTCGGGGGCCGCGGGTCTCTCCTGAGGGGGCTCTGCGGTCCGGCCCAGCCTGGCCATGGCGTGTCGGGAAGACAGGCGCCTGGGCACCAGGGGCTTCCCCCTGGCGTGGGGCTCGTCCTGCTGGGACTGCCCGGGGAGGTCCGGCTTCCTGCCCAAGAAGTCCCCGGGGGCAGGCTGCCTGGGGTGTTGCTGGGGGGGCCTTTTCAGCCGGAAGGGGAGGGGGCTCATCAGGTAGATGTTCCTGAGCAGCGCGCTGCGGTCCCCTCTGCAGTCCGGGCGCCAGTCGGGCTGCCGGGAGGCCTGCTGCTCGTGCTTGCGGATGGTGGTGAAGCGGGTGTAGGAGGCGGGGCAGGTGCCCTTGCACTTGTTGAGGCGGTGTTTGGGGAAGTCCCCGTGAACGCTGCCGCCGCTGCCCTCCCTGCTGTCGCTGGAGACGTTGGAGCAGTGGTCGAGCTCGTCGGAGCAGGTGGAGAGGGGCTCCGAGGGCGCCAGGCCCCTGAACCCCAAGGGGGAGTCGGCCACACTGCCGCACGTCGGGGAGGCGTAGGCCCCCCCGGGGCTCAGGCCGTCCACCTCCCGGGGCCGGAGCTTGGTGGACTCCAGCAGGGACTCGGCGGAGCGGGCTGCGGTCAGGCCGCTCCGGGACAGCACGGGCGTGGGGGACTTGCTCAGCCTGCCCGACAGGTCCAGGGACGGCATGGACCGTGACCGCTGGATCAGCTGCTCGAAGGCCGTGATGCGGGAGGAGACGGTGTGCTTGGGGATGTGTTCCGAGCCCTCCTGGCTGGGGCCCAGCTCGCCCCTGCCCAGGCCCAGGCTGCTCCGTTCGAAGTGGGAGGCCAGGTCCCGCACGCTGGCGGAGGAGGCAGAGCCCAGGAAGAGGCCGGCTCGGTTGATCTGGTGCATGTCCCGGTAGAGCATGGTGAACTGCATGCCCGCCTTCCTGGAGAGCGGGCAGGGCCTCCTGGCGCTGGAGCCGTACTCCTGCAAGCTCAGGGTGCTGCTGGACTTGCTGTCGTAATCCCGCCGGGAGCGCATGAGCAGGTTCTCGATGCTTCCCCCCACCTGCAGGGGGAGCCCTCTCTTGGAGCCGTTCAAAGACAAGGAGACACAGAGGTTCTCACAGCTCTGAGCCTTTTCCGAAGGCAGCAGGACACTCTTCTGTTCCTGCAAGAGAGCGCTGGGAGCGGAGAGCCTGGGCTTGAACTTGGAGGGGAGGATTTCGGAAATGCAGGCTTTTGCAGCAGACAGGGGTTTCTTGTGCTTACACACGGGGCCTAAGGCATTGCTAGTGCTAACTGTTCGGCTATGAACTGAAGATGAAGAAATCATGTGAGCATTCCCACCTTTACGATCCACTGGAAAGCATGCAGAATAAAATAAACAGACCCATTAGGTTAAAGCAAAAAGCTGCTAAAAAATAAAAAATAAAAAAAGGGAGAGGTAACATGCTCATTTGTCATAAGGTGTTTTTATTTTAAATTTCCAGTCGATGTCCAGAAGCAAAATAATCTGTGCTGCAAAGCAGGTGCAAAATGCAACGAAAAAATGGCCACCTTGCTAGAGTCAGGAAAAGCTAAAGCTCAGCTAATTTCTAAGGAAAGGGAATCAGAACAAAAAAAAAAAAAAAAAAAAAAAGAGAGAGAGAGATGCTTCAGGGAGAGCAAGGCTGGGATTAGAGGCGGAGAACTATTAATACCAGAAAGAAAAATGGCCGGTGAGAGAGGGGAGGGACCAGGAAGGCTCAGAGCCTGGAAGTGGACCTGCACGAGACCAAAGTGATTCCAGTGGCGGGAGCTTCCCCCTGCCAACACCCGGTAACTGCGGACGGGAGCGACACCCGATGGCGGTGGACAGGCGAGGGGCCTGCAGGCTTCGCGGGGTTACCTTTCGTGGAGGCCGAGCTGGACGGGCGCTTGAGCCCACTGAGGCCCTGGAGAGGGATGTCTCCACCTTCCAGGACGCTTTTATAAATCTGCCTCTCGTTCTCCAGGCTCCCGAGGTCGCAGGGAGCCCCATCCGATTCCCTCTTCACTGCGTGGAAGTTGGAAGAATATATACTAAGAACAATGTAGTTTTAAAAGGAAGAGAGAAGAGGGAGGAAAAAAAGAATAGGAGTTAGTATTTTCTAACGTTTTTCTATAAAGTACATTTCCAGCTGAGGAAAAGAAACACACTTTCCGGCTTCCTAACCAAGCACCGCCCTTTCCAAGGAGTGTTCCTACATAGAGGTCAAGTTCGACAGGCAAGGCAGGCCCACGGGTGCCCCTGACTGAATGACTGTATTTGTGCTTTCACAGACAGAATAACTGAGAAACACTGCTGGGGCCCAGGTGCTGCACACAGGATGGGGCAGTCAAGAATATAGGTGGGGGCTGGCTGGTGTGGCTCAGTGGTTGACTGTCGATGCCCAGTCCGGGCACATACCTGGGTTGTGGGCTTGAACCTCAGTGCAGGGCATACAGGAGGCAGCAGATCAATGATTCTCATCATTGATGATTCTCTTTTCTCTCTCTCCCTCTCTCTCCCTCTCTCTCCCTCTCTCTCTCTCTCTCTCTCTCTCTCTCTCTCTCTCTCTCTCTCTCTTTCTCTTCCTCTCTGAAATCAATAAAATATACATATGTATAAAAATAATTAAGTAGAGCCTCTGATCAGTGTTGGTAATTTTAAGTCCACCACTTGGATTGGTTTTCTGGGTTATTTCTCTTTGGCTGATGAAGCATTAAAATCAACCATGAAAAGAGGAGGCCTAGCTGGGGCTTCAGGAAAGCCAGCCACCAAGCGAAAGGGAACCTGAGCTCTCTCTGCTCTCACGGTGCCAGCCACCTCTGCACCCACTGCTTTCAGGATTCACAGGCAGCCGAGACTGGTTTGGCTCAATGAATAGAGCGTCGGCCTGCGGACTGGGGGGTCCTGGGTTCGATTCCGGACAAGGGCATGTACCTTGGTTGTGGGCACATCCCCAGTGGGGGGTGTGCAGGAGGCAGCTGGTCGATGATTCTCTCTCATCGATGTTTCTAACTCTCTATCCCTCTTTCTTCCTCTCTGTGAAAAAAATCAATAAAATATATAAAAAAAAAAAAAAGATTCACAGGCAGAACATGACGACATGAGACGCATCTATCGCATTCTTCACTCACTGACACGGCCTTCACTTACTTAATCCGGTTGAAGTCCTGGGCATTTGGCAAGTCACCACAAATCCCCTCTGGAATGAGGTGAACGCTGGCACACTGAACCGCCCCTTCCCCGAGTCCCAGTGTCCGTGCCCTCGGCCTCGGACACACTGACGGGGGTGCCGCTCACATCGGGAAGGACTCCCTCCCCGCACACATGCCCAGGCCTCGGCCAGGCTGCTGCTCGGTCCTACGAAGCTCCATTTGCTGGAATTCTCAGCTCAAAGATGTCAACAGCTTGGTGGGTTCTTCCTCCCAATATTTATCATGAATATTACCACGTGCAGAGAAATGCTTAAGGAGTTGTAATAGTGAACACCCATGAGCCCTGCCCGCCCACCCCCCAAGGTCCACTGGGCTGCATCTGCCTTATCCTCATCTGTCCCTGCCTCCCCTTTCCCCAGCGATCGCGGCAGATTCCTCTGGTCCTCACAAACAACTCGGTCCCCCCTTTTCCAGAGGGGGAGCCCCACTCGGGGCGGAGCGACTGGGGCTGTGGTGGGAGCGGGTGAGGTTTGGTGGTGGAATGAGAGGTCTGGACCCTGACAGGACGTGCAGCACCACACGGAGCTCTCAGCTGCCGTTCTAGAACATCTCTCCGTGACTATGGAGGAATCCCCCCCCCCCCCCCCCCCCCCCCCGCCCAAATCCGTCCCGAACCCAGGCTCATACACCACGGAAATGGAATCGAAGGGAAAAGAGAATCAGCCCTCACAGCTGAGAACATACAAGCAGACGGGTGGAGTGAGTCCACAGAGCAGCCGGGGCGATCTCTCCCCAGGCTGTGCCCTGGTCTCTAAGGGTCCACTGGACTCTCTAAAAATCAATGGAAAAATACCCTTGGGTGCGGATTAACAATAACAACAAAGAACATGGTTTGATCTGTGAAATGCCGTACTCAGGAATTCTTCCTCTAGTGCAAGAACTATGTGCATTTACTTGGGGCTCTGAGCTCCTGGCGTCCATGACTTCAGGCCATCGGCGCAGTGGAGAGAGCAGGGCTGCGGGACGAGGTGGCTGGTGGCCTGGGCTCAGGCGGGCTGTCCTTCCTGGTGCGGGGCTCTGCCTGGAGGCTCCGCCTGGAGACAAACAGGCTTGGCTTTCCCAGGCGAGGGACAGGGCTGCCGCCCACACAGCTCTGGGCTCTGTGGCTTCTGCCTGAGGGGCATTCACAGATGTCCCGTTCTGACTGACCAAAGCCACCCATTCTAGTTAGCGAGGGGAGGACCTTCAGGAGACTGGCAAGCTGGCCATGCCGATTTAGACCAGTTCGAGTCATCTAACCTGGAATTCCCTCTGAACTTCTTAATTGAAAAGAAATCTGCCTCTTTTTGAAACTTCCCTTTCACCATCCACCCTCTAGTTTTGGCTGCAGTTCCTGATTTTGTCCTTCAGCTTCAGCCCATGTCTCCTCTGTCCGTTCCATCCGCAGAAAGACCCACAGACAGGTGTCCTTCAGGCTTGCCAACCATCAGCTGTGGACCGAGGTCGCTTTTGTGAGAGGAGCACCTCGAAAGCTCTGGTGTGGGGCGACCAGACCTCAGCACAGCGACCCCCCACAGTGGCTTCTACCCTCATACAGAACATCTGACCCATCTCCCCTCGTTCCTCCTAACTTCTCAGCCATGACACCGACTGCTCACCTCACACCTCCCCTACCTCACCCACTGTCAGAACTCACCCCCCTTACCCCCTCCCCGTCAACGCCACCCCATTTTCTGGCTTTATTCCACCATTATCACCATTTTTTTCCTGCTTCCCACCAGAACGACAAGCCTGAAGCCCTCAGGAAACCTCTCAGGATGGACTTGCTATGGCCAATTGTTTTCTTTCTGATACCGAAGCCGACTTACTTTTTCCAGATGTGTGACACTTCTGTAACTTGTCTAAAAACAACGTCTAAAAGCTCTGGTACAGTGTTTCCAAATGCATTACCTTCCCCAGGCCCCCTCATTGGAAAGACAGACACCATTTGTCCATTTACCGAAGGGGAAACTGAGGACCGGAGTGGGGAAGGCATTTGTTCAAAGGTCAAAGAGTTGTGTCCGAATAGGTCAGAGCGGGTGAGATAAGTGCCTCAGTCTGGCCGAGAAAGACCGAGTCACCAAAAGGAGCCAGGCCCAGAAGCTCGGCTCTGCAGCAGGGCGGAGCGGTTTGGGCTGGGGAAGAGCAGGCCAGCAGGAGGCAGTGATGAGAATGGACCCCCTGGCTAAGAGGCAGTGCTGGCTGCTGAGTTTCAAGGGGATTCAACAGAAACTCACTCTAAGAATAAAGGGAGAGAGCAGAGCAATCATAGTAGGGCCAAATGTTTCCAATCCACTGGCTGGGTAGGGATTCCAGCCTGACTCCAACAGGAAATGTGAGCAGTGGAGGCAAACCGCTCACTTTACAAACCTGAAGAGACAATCTGTTTCTCTCTGCCTCCATTTCCTTCCTCTACCAAACTATCAGGTGCGGTGAGACTGTCCAAAAAGTCCACCTTCCAATCCCTTTTGACCTCTAGATACACACAGACATTCCTTTTGACCTCCAGATACACACACTCAACTGCCTCCTAGACAGCTCCACTTAGATGTTCCTCAGGCATCTTAAACCCAACACCTTCCAAACCAAACCCAGCTCCATCCCTCTGCCTCCCATCACCCAGGCCAGAGAGCCCTGAAAATCACCCCCTCGCCTCCCTCCTTGCCCTGCAAACTTCAGCACGTTTTGCTTACTCCGTCCTGACCCAGCTCACATTAATCCCTTCAGTCTCTGCCTCCCTGGTCCCCACCTCACGCCACTCCCCGACACCTGTGCACTCTGCACACCACCCCTCCCCCAGGCCCCAATCATCTTTGCAAACTGCTGCCAGTGATATTTCCAGAGAAGATCTCACCATGCCATTCCAAGGCTCATTTTATTCACTCAACACGTATTTACTGGGCACCTACTACATATCCATCATTCTCTTAGGTGGTGACCCAATAAGGAGCAAAACAGACAAAAAAATTCCAGCCTCATGGAATCCACTGTTCAAAACCATCTTGTGTTTTCAGGAAGAAACAAAAAATAACAGTTTTTAACTGGATATGGGAGATGGCGTCTAGACAATTTGGGGAGGGCAGTTCATTGTCTAGCCTTTCATAGCATGAAAAAAAAAATTACCTTTTCTTATTTGTTATGATGTCATTATTAATCACTTTTTATTGGCTGCTCCTTTGTAAAGTGAACCTTTCTTCCTCCACGAAACAGGCGTTCCCTCCCTCCTGGCTCCATCATTGCCTGCCCGCACTGGGTTCTGACGGCTCTTTACAAGCCTGCCTCCCGTTACATGGGTTCGTCCTCTGAGGGAGGCAGTTTAACTGACTAGCCTTTGCACGGCTGGTGTCTAGCACCTTTGTTCAATAAATATTATTGAAATAAATGATTCCATAAAATTAAATGCCTACACACACACACACACACACAGATTTATGAGACATTTTTGAGCCTTGGGAAGTTTCTAATATTTCATCAAGTTCTCCAGGCAATGATTTGTGTTTTGATCTTAAGTTAGATTAAGGAGAAAGGGTGTTTTTCTTTCTAGTGCACCATCACCACTTAGGAAAGCTGCAGCTTGAGTGCCACCTACTGGCCATCTAAAGTAAAGCTCTTTGGTTAGGCAAAGACTGTATTCGAGCCTACGAATGCTGAAATGCTAAGCAATGAGGGAGAAGAGTAGGCTACACTGTTGATTAATAGATCTGGCAATTCCACAGAAATAAAATACAAATACATTGTGATCACAACTATAAAAAATATATTTTTTTGAGAGGAAGGACTGGTAGATTGTATTAGGATACTGGAACAAGGGGTGAATTTCTTCCTCTCTGTTTCCAGGTTCTTTTATAATAATATTGTGATATGTAATCAACTTAATAATAAATTTCTAGACTAAAGTCTCTCCAAGATATTAAAGTGGACTCAAAGCAGCACCACCACTTCTTCACTGACCACAGCTTTGCACCTGGGCCATAGGATTCCTCTTTCTTCAGTCCCTGGGTTAAGTCGAGCCTTTGCCAATGTTTCTTTCAGCAGGTCATTCCTGTCCCTCGGGTGAAGGGAACCAGATTCAATCCACAAGTTGCCGACCTTGATGCTGAGTTGGATTCTCGTTAATTAAGTCTTCCGGAGGCTTCATTTACTCAGCAAACACTTAGTGTGCACTTTGCTATGCCTCAGGCACTGCACTTAGGCTGGCTCCTCACCAATTCCAAATACAGGAAAACCTGATTCATTTGAGCAAAGCGGGAGAAAACCAAGCCCAAATTTCTAGTAAATTCCCAAATGGTCGAATAGCAGGAGGAAAAAAAACCCTCATCTATCCCTGCCACATATTTCAAGTGAGCTAGAGTAAGGCTGAAAAAAAGAGGTCTTTGGAGACCTGTTCTGATGATAGAAATAAGAGTGTGGGAAAATTAACACATCAGATAGCTTTATGCACACAAATCCTCAGAGTCTGACAGCCATTTGCTCTGTTCGGCATTAGGCCCCTCAATCCTGCTAATACAGTATTACAAATAGTTGCATAATGGTTTTCTCACTCATGTGAAAGACAGTAAATTATGGGATGCTATTAGTTTATTGTCAGTATGGTGCAGTGAGAGCGCACTGCAGACACCAGTGCCTTGGCCTAGAACTTGGAGGAACAACTCAGTCCCACACCAGCTGCAGGCCATGGGTGTCACTGCCTGCTTCCTCACCTGCAAAATGCAGGTTAAAAAGATGCCTGGTCCTGGAATGTTGAGAGGTGAATTCGGAAGCTAAGCATAGTGCCTGGAGCACAGTATATGCTGAATAAGTTGTTCATTTCACCACTTCTTTTAAGACCTGTGTGCCTAACTGACAGACTGGGCACTGCTTTCTTTTTCTGAATACTCTTAATCCTTAATCCCTTCCTTCCTCCCTTCCTCCCTTATATACTTTTATTGATTTCAGAGAGGAAGGGAGAGGGAGACAGAAACACCAATAATGAGAATCATTGATTGGCTGCCTCCTTCATGCCCCCTACTGGGGACTGAGCCGCAACACGGCATGTACCCTTGACCGGAATTGAACCAGGGGCCCTTCAGTCCGCAGGATGACACTCTATTGACTGAGCCAAAGTAACTAGGCCCACTTTACATTCTTATTTACTTAACATTCCTTTTTTGGGTTTTACCCCCCAAACTACTAAGGGACAATTATGCTCCTATTTATTACCTAGCATAGTGCCTTGGTCCAGGGAAGCTAAGGCCACCTGAAACAGCCTTTTTGTCTGTGCATTTCTGGGAGAGGAATGGGGCAAGGAGGTAGAGGGGAGAGCGAGCAGTAGGCTTACATTATGCAGTCCTGGGACCAGCGGGGCAGGGAGAGATCTGGTCCAACCAGGCTTTGGGCAGTCAGGGTCACCAAAGTGACAAGCTTTGTTGCTGACCAGCAGGTGACCTGAGGGACCAGGAGAGTTTGCTGGGAGCTGTGGCCTGAAGAAGCCCTTCACCTGCAGAGAGCCTGAGGTCGTCTGTGGGTTCATGTCTGGGGCCTGGAGGACCTGGGACTGGTCATCCTTGGAGCTGAAGGCATAGTTCAGCTATCTCCTTAAAACAGAGTGAGCCTCACAGCCCAAGGTGGGGGTGGGGTGGGGCGGAGGGGCAGGCAGCCTGAGGATATAGCTGAACTCTGATTCTTTTCTGTCACACTGGTGGCTGGATGACCAACCCAACAGTGAGCCCAAGAGACGATACCGACCTTCTCAAAGATGGAACTGTCCTTTAAGATAGGAAACTTTCCCCTAACTGCTGTCCTACTACACCGTCCCAATTTCTTCTCAGACTCTGGGGTCTGTTAATCATAACCATTAATATACACATTTATAGAAGAAATATTAATAGATCTGGCTAGAGAATTGGTCACTTCCCTGAGAGGAGGAAGGGTATTTTTCAATTTTCCAGTGAAATACTTCAAACACAGTTAATCGACTTTCAAATGAAACTACTCTTGCAAAATGCCCAAGTGACCGTACGGTTTGTCACACATACCCATACACTCAGCATCCAGAGCAAGCCAGGCTTCAGTCTGCACAGGTGAGCTTGGCTACTGTGGATCTGCCCAACCCAAATGGAACAAGCAAAGCGCTGCCTCCTCTTCTGGTCACATTTTGAAGCATAAGATACAGACACCGTGGTGATGAGATGAGCTGCTCCCACCAGAACAAACGCCCTGACCTACGGGTGCACCCGGCTCTCGAGGAGTGTATGATTTATGATTTATTAGTTATACAAACATAATAACACAATTCGGGCACAGCAGCGGAAGTCAGGGTCCTAACAGCTCCTACCTGAGACTGGGTACAGAGAGGCTCAGCTGGGGCTTCTCAGACAGGCTCCAATGCTGGCACCTTACCGTGTGTGCAGGGGGCGGGCAGCACTGACCCATTGGCAGCTGGGAAAACAGCTGCATGGCCAAGTTCTGAGACACAGTCTGGGAGAGGGCGCGGGAGGTTGGGGGATGGGCTGGCTGATTTGGAAGAGAGGAGGCAGGAGGTTTGGGAAAGGCTGCCGTCACCCAGCGAGAACCCTAATGAAGCCACACCTCTGAGAAACAGACCAGTGAGCCCCCTTTCGGCCCCATCTTTGCCTGTGACAGGTCCAGGCCAAGGACCCGAACCCCACCCTCAGCCCCCAAAGTCACACCTCCCCCCACAAGATCAGCAAATGAGGTGAACTTTGATCCTGAACGCACGCCAATCCGCTCACGTTCTAAAGGTAAAGCTTATCAAGGTTAATATGAATCGTCACAAAATTCACTTGGAAGAGGAGAAGAAAATGGAAGAAAAAAATTGAAGACCAGAACTGAATTGCTATTTATCACCAAACTGTACATCACTCAAATCCACTACACTGCTCCCCCCCCCCCCCCCCCCCCCCCCCAACCCACACACACACACAGGTCCGAATCATCAGCTTCTCCCGTTTGGACAGTCCATACAGGGAGCCGTAGAAACAAAGGGGCAACTTACTATCCAGGAGGCTCTGAAGACATGTCCGGAGTGGGGCTGACTGCTGAGCTCTGTAAACGTATAAAAGAGAAAGAAAAGTGTATGTGATTTATTTGGACTCAGATGTTCTAAGCCAAGGGCGTCCCTTTCGCTTCCTAATTTAGCCAGGGCCTCTGGGTGGAGGGGGCCTGGCTGGAGAGGTAGCCGGGCCCGGAGGGAGGGGCCTCTTTGTCTCTGGCCTTGACCTCCCAGTGGCTGCATCGCGGCTCCCCGGGTGGGTCAGGAGGTGGCCTCCTGGGCCCACTGGGGGATAGGCCCACCATGTGGCCAACATGCATTAATGACATGGCACACCCTCCCCCAGCATACCCCAACCCTCAGACCCCTGCCAACTCCTTCATGCGCCCCAGATGCCACATCCAGAGAGAGGGTCACCCAAAACATTAGGTACAGAATGCACAAAAACGTATTTTGAAAGACCACACTGGGTTTAGATGTTTGTCTGCCCCCAGAGACTTCAAAGTGCAAAAAGGGGGAGAAATGCAGATTTACAAATGCTAATGACCACTTCAGCCTCAGTGGGGAATGCTTTACAAGGTTACACACCACTGTGCAAAAGGAGAACAATCGAGAGCTACATGCAGAGAAAAAGAACACACTGTGTAGTTTATTTAGGGTTTCTGTTATCTTGGAGGGAAACAAGCAAAGGGTTCAATATATTGGCTCTTAAAAATAAAGTAGTGGTTGAATAAATCAATGAAAAAGTTAACTTTTAAAGATGTTCCTATCTCTAATGCTGACCATCACAAGGGAAACAAAGTACCTGGAGGGGAGATGTTGGAGGAAAGGGAACACCAGGAAAAAAGGAAGAGACTGCGAAGGAAGGAGCTGACCTTCCTCAGGGGCTCAGCCACCTGCCTTCCGCCTGCTGGGCTGTCATTTCTGAGGGCACCTCCACCCCAGGAGGTCCCCACCCTCCCCGCCATGCTCCTCAGAGAAGGCACCCCTCTTACCTGCACATTCATCCGTCCAGCTCTTTGCCTGCCCTGTTCTCCCCTACCCTCCTTCCTCCGTGAACCTGACCTTTGGCCTCTGCCCCGTTCTGGGTCTCCCCACCTCTGGACGACGTCCTGGTTTCCCGCGGGGAAGAGGTTTGCGCGACCTGCTGAGCCCTCTGGGGACACCCCGTCGCCTTCCTCCAGGATCACATTTTAATCGGTGTGCACCCCTGGGTATTCCAGACCTTCTCCACACACTCCTCTCCCCCCCACCACTCAGCAGCCCCCAAAGCTTTTAGAAACCTCTGGATTATCGACCCCACTGACCTCTCCTCAGAGTCCAGTGTGGGGGCCTCTCTGGAGCACCTGGTCATGCTCAGGCCGCTCCTCTCGCTCCACCTCCCCTCTCTCCTCCTCCATCTTGGGGAATGCTCTCTCTGACCCTCCCCTGCTCTCCCGCTGCCACCAACAGTCCAATAGGTACTAATGGATCTTTCATCCTTCCCACAGGACTCTCCCTTCAGGCTTCCATCTGTCCCGGGGGGGTGTCTTCGTCTGCCCCAGTTTGTCCTCCACCACCTCTCCTCAGGGACTGCAACTGCCTTGGGAAGCCTCTGCCCGTCTCACAGAACCTGCCTCACGTTTCAAACCGTCACCTGCATATTTTCTTTGTGATACCCAACCAACATTCAAAACAAATGCCCTGACACCAAGTCCTTCCCCTACCCTCTGCATGAAGTTCTCCCATCGTTCTCCCGTGTCATACTGATGTCCCCAAGGCTCCCTCTGTCCGGACAAAGCTCGTGTTGTCTATCCCCATCCTGTTCCCCACGGTAACCCCTGCTTCCTCCCCTCCCCTGGGCTACGCCCCTGCACTCACATGGCTTTTGGTGCCCTCGTCACTCATGCCGGTGGTCTGACCCTCCTGCTCTCCAGCTCGGCTGAAGGTGAACACGATCCATTCACACCCCTTGTTCCTTGCCCTGGTCTGCGGCCTCCCCGCCTTGAGCAGGGCCCACATTCCTTTCCTGTTTCCTGTAAGGATCCGCTTTCCTCTAAGGTCCCTCTTGTTTCCGCACGGAGTGTTTTCCTTCCGCGGGGAGCCCGCTTCTCTGGGACCCTCTCTCTGACCCAGCTCCGCTCAGAAATGCCAGCACAGATGGGGCTTCCGATGCCTGCCTGTGATGTGGCCTGGCCCCTGGAGCGCATTTTTCATTGAGAACTTTCTGACCTCTCAGACCACAAGCTCTGACAGTTTCTGTGCATAAGCAGCATCGAATCACTGCCACGTTTTGGGGAACCGTCTCCGAGGCTGGGGCCTCCCAAGGCTGCAAGAATGACAGCTGCCCAAACACGGCTCCCTGAAACCCCGAGAAGGCACCCCAAGGCGAAGGCAGGAAAGGAAGAGGGCCCCCCTGAGAGCAATCACCAGCCACCCCACGGATATCTGGAAAGCCCCCCTTTAAGGAAGATGCCAAGCTCCAAAGAAACCAAAGAAAAACCAAGTTGGGGAAAGGGACAGGAAAACAGCAGCCAGAAAGCCATGCAGCTCCACAGTCATCAGCAAGACACTCCCCTCCTCAGCGCCAGCCCACCCTCCTCAGTGCCAGCCCAAACCGAAGGGCCCGGGACAGGCAGGGCAGCAGGAGGAAAACAGAAGTACCTGCGCCAGGTCTGCATGGGGTGCTTTGCTAAGCGTCTCCGTCTCCCCTACATCTGCCTCTAACTCTGTCTGGCAGAGGTTGAGCTCTGTGTCTAGGTTAGTCTGGCACAAGAAAGGAAAGATGGGAAAGAGGGTTTTAGTTCAGAGGACAGGCAGAGAGAATGGAGGGTTATGTTTGAAAAATGAACCTGTTTAGGGTGATAGTTTAACAAAGCAGAGATGGCATGATTAAACCAAGAGGCTAGCTCCCTGGAAATGACTAAAAGCCACGAGGACAGAGAATGCAGCGTTAGGCCTGGAAAACAGAAGCCCCGCAGTAACCAGAGCTCCAGAACTCTGTTCTCCTGGCTGCGGAGAACTACAGATACCACAGCACCTGCCGGGAGGAAATACCTAGCTTCTGCCTTTTCGGAGTCTGGTGACTGTGACAAACGCTACATGTCAGGAGAGTAAGTCATTGCTTAAAACACACACACACACACCCTCTACACATCAGTATATATCTTAGAGACTTTGTTAAATAGATTTATCACCAAGCCAAAAAAATAAAATAAAGTTATCAAGTTAAAAAAAAAAAAAAAAGAAGTGATTGAAGAAAATAAGAGCCAAACCCCACAGCACACTCACACTAACCAGCCAGGAGCACACACACCGCCCCGGAGAGGCATTACCTTTCTATCCTCTCTAGGAAGGATAGAGCAGTCTCCAGGAGTATAATCCCATATCTTTTTGGGAGGCTGATGGGAAGCAGAGGAGGAAATGGAGAAATGAGCATAAAGACAGACACGGAGACCGGCTCACACACAGGGGGGCACCCCGGGGCTCAGCAACGGGGAGCTAGCACGGGCGTGGGCGCTAACGGGGAGCTTCCTGGCTACGTTTCTGTCTCAAGAGCAGATCACTGTTGGAGTCCAAACATTGCAAACTTAAAAGACACAAAGAAGAAAAAAAAAAAAAGCATTAACACCAATTTGAACAAAAATCGAAACTTTAAAATCCCCCATTGTTCTTTTCACACTAAGATGGACACTGAGCCCACATCTCTGAGGCAGGCTTCATCCATGTAGCAATGCGGCGATCTGGCCAGTGGAGGGCAAACTGCACGAAGTGTGTTTTTTGTGGTTTGTGGCAACTGTACCAAATGGGTGATGAGATAATTTTAAAAATCGTTCCCTGCTTGCTTAGATGTTAACACAGCTAGCGGTAGAGCCAGATCCTCTATCTCCCTTACAGAACAGAGTTTCTACTTTGCATTTAAACAGCGGCCTAGAAGGCTAATTTTGTGGGTTTTTTTTTTTCCCCCTTCTCTTTTTCCCCTTTAACTTTTCAAGAGAGAATTAGGGTACACGCCTAAAACAGAAATCTGCCCGGAGAACCGTTGTACGTTTAGTGAGGGAGGGGTTCAAACGTAGGACACCTGGAAGCTACAAGCTGCCCCAGGGGAACCCTCTGTTCTGCCCACTTAGGCTTGAAAGCTCTTACACAGCTCCCCCTCCCTTCTGCTGTCACTTAACAGCTCCTGGAATATTGTAATTATATTCATTATAACCAATTAGGGAAGCTTTTTCTAATTGGTTTACATTGTGACATTTTGCCTTGAGCTTACTTATAGAAATCACATTAATTTCTGAGGGGGGATAGGAGAGAGAAAAAAGCTAACACCCAGGCTCTTAGTAATAAATTTGCAAATGAAAAGTAATCTGATTTCAAGATGCATTCACCACCCACAGCAACAGGACAGCAATGCGATTCCTGTAGACATGTATTCTGCACTTTGTAAAGCAGGTGCTATTAACAGTCATTTTTCTTTAAGCACTTTACACACTGCATAGATGGTTCGGATGGGAAGCGGACCTTTCAAAGTCACACCAGTCTCTCTACGTGCACTGACTGCAAAAAGATAAGACAGTGCTTACAAGTTAAATTGGCTGTAAATTGGCTGTAATGCCACCCTGTCATTCAACTAGACAGGAGCCCACCCTTCGAATGCCTCAGACCATGGGAACCGTGGTCTCAACACTGCTCCCTCAGGATAGACAGTGATTACGTGGTTTTGGTAAGTCTTTAGAAGTTTTACCTTTCACTACTTTAAAAGACCCACACAAAAAGGAGAGTCCCCTTCAAGGACTCTAAGTCTATGTAAGGAAAATTTGTGGCTTGAGAGAGATGACATTTGGAAAAGAATCTCTTTAAATAAGTAAGAGGCAGTTAGAACAACAGGGGAGCGGTACCAATGGCGGGAGGTCTCAGCGTACGAATGGGATGGAGGCACGCAGACCAGCTTCCCGTAGAAGCAGGGCCGATCCCCCGAGCTCCTCAGATTCCCCCCGCTTAGTGTGTGCTGGGGCTGAAAAACTGTCTCTTGTTGACAAAACCAGAATGATTTTCAGTGACAGATTTGGTAAAACAAATGATTAATTAGAGACATTTCAAAACGTTTCCTAAAAGCTAACATTAAAGGGAAAACTAATTTATTTATTTGGCCAATGAGGAGATGGCTAGAAATTTGTGGACATCAAAAGTCAATGGCATGGACTTTTTCTTATGCATAATTTAAAGCAAATAGCTTTGGTTTTCCCAGATGGAAATATGGTATAATTATATATATCAATCATTGGGGAGAGGGGTGGAACTACATATATCAATAGGTTTTTCTGTGAGATAACTGAGCAGGTTGTAAGAAAAGGAAAAAGGTTAAAATACCGTTAAATATTTGAATATGGAAGAGACTGCCTGGGTAGAACCCATTGATGTCTGTATGGTGGACAGCAGAGAAAAAAGGGAGAGAAAGAAGTGATGGGCACACTTTGTTAGTTGCTGCCCTCTCAACTGGTCACTAGATGGCGCTGTTCACTCAGGACAGCTTAGCTGCAATTGGGAGCCAGTGTCCAAGGAGGGACAGGGGGGGGGGGGGGGGGGGGTGGGAATGAATATGTCTGTCTGTTCTACAAGCAGCATGTTTGCAAGTCAGTGCTCCTCTCAGAAGATGCAGGAACTTTGAAACAAAGCTCAGCATCACTAAATCAACAGAGAAATCCCAGAGCACCAGCTTACTTTGTCTTCATCTTAATATGGAATTTAACATTTGACTGAACTGTAAAGTTAATTCCTGTCTGCAGATAAAACCACGGTAATTCAAATACTGGAGGCAATACTTAAAGTCTCACACAAACATCTAATGGAATGTTTTACGTTTATACACTTAACCTTCCACTTGCAAATTCTTTTTGTAGTTGGCAGTGGTGAACATTTAAAGTAACTGGAGTTTCAAAGTCAGTTTCCAGTCATCTCCAGCAGGAAAATGAGCTCCCTTCTCCCTTCTGGTGGATACTCCTCGGAGTACTGGGCTAAGAAACCCTCCTTTAAGTGCCCAAAAAGCCTCTGGTACCAAAGTCAACTCAGACACACCAGGGGGAAGCTGCAGGATGTTATTAGGTTCAACGCTGAACTTGCTGGAATTCCTAGCTCTCATTTCAAATTTTGGGAAATGTTCTTCTAACTCATAGAGATCATTCCCTGAAAGTCACAGGACACAGGGCTGTCATCGTGGGCCACACCTGCATTGAGACCGGCTTTGGCACTTCCCTGCACAGGTGCTTTTCAAAGCTCTATCGCTGTGTGGTGCCCTTTCCCGCTTATCTTCAGTATGCCATGAGGACTCTGGCCAAGGAACTGAACGGATGGCCAACTGAATGTCATCCTCAGACACGTGGTATTCGTTGCTACTGGTGGGAGGGACTAAGACCAGCAAGGATCTCGGGGTGTCTCTCAGGATTTTCTGGCAATAAATCCAGAGCTCACTGACCTTTCTTGGTGAAGAAAAGCAACAGAAAGCTTACAGGTGGGAGTGAGACTAGGCAATCCCATCCGGACAACCGGACAACCGACACGGGGCACCCCACTCCCTGAAGTCCTTACAAATAGATGATTCCTTAGCAGCGACAATGCAGCAACAGCATGATTTTTAAAAATGTCTATAACCACCGAGGCTATTAAACTTACCGGTTTCCCAAACTCCAATTCCGAAAAGAATTTATACCAAGGTTCATTCTTTAAATCTATCTCTTCTGGGCTTATATCCCGACTCTATAAGGGTTGGTGACAGGGAAATGGAAGAGAGAGAAGGATAACATTATGCAAAGATTACATAGGAACAGGCCAGTAGAGATGCAGTGGTTTCCAGATATATATATAGATATATATACACATAGAGAGAACTGCATTCAATAGCAGCAATCCCCCGTTTCCACGGACACGGGCAACATCAGGAAGCTAAAACAGGTGGGGAAGGATGTGTTTATAAAACAGGGCCCCTGAGCGAGGGCGCAGTGGGTGCATCACGCTCAGCCCCAAGGCAGGAGGACAGAGCGTGGATGGGGAACTCTGCATCACACTGCTGCCCCCACCACGAATACGAATGTGGGGACAGCAGTATCTCCATATTGTGGGAGAAAAGGAGGATCTCATTGCCTCTTCACAAACAACTATTAGTTATGAGCAAATATCCTGGTGAGCACACCAAACATTGAGCCATTTACGCCAGGTGAGTAGAGCAAACAATTTTTACGGGCTAGTACAGTTTTAGTACTTATTTGCAAGGCTGCCTTAAGGTTTTCAAAATAAACGCAAATTTCGACACTTTTATACAAGCCAATTTGTTAATACTGCATCTTTAATGGCACATGAGTAGGTGAGAAACCATGTCCCTTACACAGTCAAGAGAAAGATGATATAAGTAACAACAGAGGACACGAGTGAAGAAACATCTTAAACAAGCCCCAGAGGGGATGGATACAGATAGAATATACTTTATGTTCTAACAAGTAAATGTTAAAGAGCCGGGAAAATTAAAGCGAGGGAAAAGCTGAACAAGACAGATAGCAGAACAGGGGAGGAAAAACCTTCTGGCTTATGTTACAAAAATAAGTTAGATTTCCCACTTTTCAGGATTCTAAGAGGTAGTTCACATAGAGTGATAATGGACCAATGAGATTCCACATTTAATCAAGTATTCATGAAGTCCTGGTACCTTGCTGTGGAATAACGTGTGCTTCTGGAAATAATTAGTTAAAAACCAATGCCTGGAAAGCAAATCATGTTTCCCCTTAATAAACTGGAGATACGTTCACAGCAGACAAAGTGTTAGAGGCTCATGGCTTAATTAAATTCATACACTTCTATGTTTCAAAAACCTTGGTAGTCTTAAGGGGAGGGGGAGATTTTCCGGCAAGGATATGAAAAAGGAAATGCACATTTCTCAGAGGTGGAAAATGGTAAGTGAGCAATGTTACTCCCTCGGGCCCCCGCACAGGGGGAGAGGGCTGTGGCCGCGGCCTCCTCAGGGCGCCTGCTCCCAAGCAGCTCCTCGGGATCCTTCTCGTAATGTCCAGGCCTTTGCAGCTTGCAGGGATGCTGCAAACGTCTTCACCACTCCCCTCTTCTCAGATCCTTAGAAGAACCTTTACTATTATTTCTACGTTTTATTTTATTTCTTGCAAGTATAATAAAAATATTTATTTCCACCAGAACTGTCACTGGAACTTTTCCCTACGTTTGTTTTAAATGGAGGAAGATGACAGAGAACGTTCCTCTGACTGAGGTTCACTGACTATGTGTTAGTTGAAACCAGAGGGAAGTGTCCAGCTTAAAACTCCCCCCACCGCCTGAGGGACTTCGGCTTAGGTCTTGAAGGTCACGGTGCTCCTCCTCGGTGGGCTCTGTAACATGTACAGTGATGGGTTCTGTGTTTATTCAGGGAGAGGAGGCCCAGGGCCCATACTATTCAGGAAAAACAGTTAAGGCATTGGGGCATCGTAGGTCCTTGTACGATGGCGTTTCATGAAACCTGTTTCGTGTTTATTATTATTAGAGACTATTTATAAGCTGCTCTCTGGGAATAGGTTAGGTTTTTTTTTTAATTTTTTTTTTTTTTTTTTTTTTTTTTAATAAAATGTACCAATTCTTCCAGGAAACAGCATGAATGCTTTGGTACTTGGTCCTGAAAGAATTAACCCATTTTACGGCTGAAGGTTGATTGCAAAGTGTCTCACGGCTGAGGGTCACACTGTGCCAGGCCTGAGGCAGGAGGTATGTCGAGCAGTTTGGCCCAGGAAGTGATGGGAACACCACACAGTGGTGCTGTCTGTGTTTGACCGGGCCATGTCTAACTCAGCTGTGGATCGGTGGTGGGACGGACAAACAGCGCGGGGCCTTCCGGACGCACAGCAGGATCTCGGGACGGCAGGCAGGGCAGGCTCTACAATGCCAGGCTCCGTGCTCTGCGGCCGGCCGGGGCTCCTCTCTTTCCAGCTGGCAAAACCCTCGGAAAGGGCGGGGCCCTTGCCAGGAAAATGCCTGATTCTCCTCAAGGACAGTTTTGTTGCTTGAACAGGAGCCAGAGACCAGCTTCAACTTTTAACTAAATGGTAATCTGAATGCGGTACGTTGATTGGCACAGCACTTCATAATGTTCGGGGCTCTTCTGCCCACATTCTTGCCCTCGATCCTCTCACTCATGACCTCGGTTCAGGCCAGGTAATACTTCTGCTTGCAGATGAGAACACGGAGGTTCAGAAAGGTTAAAGGACCTGCTCCGAAACTTGAACTCAGAACTCGGTTCTTCTAAGTCCCGGTGCTCTTCAGCCACACTGTACCCTTCACATTCCCCTTGAGAAGGGGCAGGCCTGCTCAGTTTGCAAATGATACGAAGCTAAAACAGGGCTAAGTGACAGACCTGAAAAGCCAGGGAGGAACTCAAACTGGCAAGAAACCAAGTTGGGAAAATCCCCTTATTTTACACTTGCAAACGTAAGTTGTGTAATTCCTACGCTAGGTCCCTCCTTCCCACTGTTCCCCCAACATCTAACCCAGGGCGTGGCATGTGAAAGCCACTCTCTCTGCACTTGTTGGATTGAGACCAAGTCCTGTAAGGGGCTTGGGAGGAAAGTAAAAGGACAAAGCCTGAAAAGGCTACTCCTGACCAAGCACGGCCTGACCGATAATCTCCAATTCCACAGCCAGAAGAGAAGAACGTGGATTCACACCATGGTAAGAGGGGCCGAGCAGCAATGAAGAACTTCATATGATTTTGCCAAGTAGTGGGGTTTCTGAAGGTGGTATAGTGTTTTATTTCTCTGGGTGGTTGGCATTCGCTCCAGGGACAAAGATGAGCTCTATGGCAGCCTTTACAGCCTGCCATTCAACCTTCCTGCAAACTGCAGAGAGGTGTGCCAATGAGGTCACAACTTAAATGGCCAGGCTTCAGCAGACATGAGTACCTCAAATTGGAAGCAAAAGCATGGTTCCCCTTCTCCCCCAAAAAAGGAATTGTGTATTCCCGAAAGCAAATTTAGGTTCTACACTTGTCGCTAGCTAGTGCACTCATCCACAGTTAACGTTTGTGTGTGTGTGTGTGTGTGTGTGTGTGTGTGGTAGCGAGGGGTGGGAGGTTTGTCCTCAAATTCTGGCAAACCTGATACAGGATGTCAAAAGGCAAGACTCACTTACTGAAACCAATGTTCCAACTTCTCTGTTCAAAGATAGCTGAGAAAGAAATCAAACAGAAAGGACTGACTTGACTGCCGTGAAGAGTGGCTCAAAGATGAGGTTTAACTGAAATTTCTCTCTGAAAGGGAGTCTCTGGAGGAAGTTTAACAGAGTGGAAGCTCGCGGATGCAATGTGATGGGCCCTCCGGCGCTTACGTCCCACGACAGGATGGGCCTAGCTCTTGGCACAGCACAGGGGCTTCTGGGCAGGAACATAGATGGTGCTCTGTGATCCACGCATGTGATCAGGACAGGTCTTCAAAGACAGCTCCTATGGGCTACTACGTATTACTTCCCCGGGTTTGTAAACACATGGAAGATAATCTGTAACCACTGTGGTATCAAGGAATAAAACAAAACTGTTATTTTTTCCCCCTAGTTCTGAATTAGTGGTCAAATTATTAGAAACTAAGGAGAGGAGGGGAAAACAAAGAAGGAATTTTAGGGGCAAGGCTTCGAGAGAAGTGACCATCTGTAAATAATAATTCTGCCAAACAAAGCACCCACAGGTCTACACAGTCTCTGAGGTCGTTCACATGTGTTGATATGTGACGGCGTGTCCTGACTTGTTATTCCAGGGTCAGGAATATGCCCAGAGCACGGCTTTCTCTCCTGGAACACCTGTGCGGAAGGCTACCTTCTGAGGTTACCATCTTTTAACGCGGAGAGAGCCTCCAACGAAAGGTGGAGCAGAGGCATCATTCTCCGCTCCTCTCTGAACTCTTTGCTTAAAATAACTGCAGTGCACAGAAAATGCTGAGGAGCGGCAATCTGGAGCATTTCTGCAGGCTGCTTTACCCTAATTAAAATTACCGATCCCTCTGTGCTTTCAAAGATGTCAAACTTTCATCTTAGTCAAAGCGAAGCCAATCGCTCCTGAAACGCACGTGGCCTGGGAGAGGCGGAGGGAGAAAAGCGTGCCCCCGCACCTCCGGGGTGACTTGCTGTGTGCGCAGTGTGGTAACGGCATTTTAATAGGATCCGGTTCCCAGCATGACAGCTCCATCCTGCAGGCCCGGCGGAGGCTGCGGTGTCATGGAGCTTTGGAGATTCCCTTTAACCATGATCAGAATTCTGAACCAGCTTTTTCAAAGGAAGGATGGACAAAAGGAAGTGTGATTGGCAGATAGGAAACTAATGGGTTTGCACAAATCCTTCCCTGTTCCGGGGTGGTCTGCTCTGCCCCACAGGCCACTTCCCCACTTAGAAGAGATGTGAACCGTAAGTCAGACTGACCGTGACATTCGTCCTCGATACTGCACGCGTCAGAAGAGGAAGGCCTGAAACGCCTGTTTTAACAGCCTGGGGCTTTCCCCCCTCAAATCATAACATCATATTAATTATTTAGCTTTTAGTGATGTACTAGTAGTACCTTCTACAAAATTTATATGTGTTCAAATAAGAGGCATATTTAAAAAAAAACACAAAAAAACAACCACCACGAATTTAGTCCAGTTAGTAATAAGCCTGCCAAATTAATGGTTAGATGTTTAAGGAAAGACAGCAGCAAAATCAATCTTTATGTTAGTAGCAAATTCTAAATTCGTTAAAACCATGCATAAAAGCGCCAGAAAGCCACAAGACGAGCTTCTCTCAAAGCAGACTCGGAACTCATTCTATGAACACCTGCAAAAATGAAAAGGGTAAAAATACTTCATTTTTTCATTGTCTCCTACACAAAGCACATCTATCTCCGGGAAAGAGAACGTGATGCAAGTGCACAATGCCTCCGGATTAAAGAACACGCGGGGAGAGACAAAGGGACCTGAATATTCACGTTACCATCTTTTCGTTGTTCAGAACGGAGGACTTGCCCGGCTGATACTCGTATATGCTTTTGGGCTCAGCACGGTATTTCCTTGTGTCCACTTTCTTATCTGGGGGCTCCCAGTCGTTTCTGTAGAAAAAGAATCCTATGAGAGCTGTTTTCATGAAAATTGGCATCCAACACGTTCTGACTTTGGCTGACTGTAGTCTAATCAAGGAATTTTCAAATCCAAAGCATAAAATCGGACTCGGTGCAAAGCGTTTAAGTTGTGCTGGTCCCCTTCTCAAAACAACCAGCTAAAGCTCTGGGTTTGCTCCCCAAAAGGCCTGAGGTACCAGAAACCAGGTACCAGGAAGCAGAGGAGAGAGGGAGGCAGGCAGGGAAGCAGCAGCAGCAAAGCTCTGCTCTCCTGAGCTTATCATCCAAACATGCCTGCACTTCCCACTCATGCTCGTGCAGGAGAGAGAACACAGGTCCTGGAGCCAGTCAGCTGTGGTTCCAATCCCTGCGCTAGTACTTGCTAGCTGGTGATCCAGGCTACACACCTTATCTATTGCTACCTTAGTTTCCCCATCTGAAAAATGGGGTTGTTGCAAAGGACTAAGTGCATGCAAATCACCAGGTCCACAGTAACCACTCAGGAAATGTTATTTGCTTTTGTTGTTCCCTCTTCCACACTTCACCCCAGTAATCACCCAAATTGCACCATTTGGCACACAAATTCAACTGGATCCAATGGTGGGTTTCAGAGGAGATAGGAATCCCTGAAAATAGTTTGCAGAGTTCTTATGCGTGCACATGGCTGCCTTTGCACTGTGATTATATTTAGCTTTTGCTGCCGGGCAGGGATGGTGATTTATATATGCTGAGATTCCCTCACAGCATGTGGTCCCATCTGCACACAGAATGCACCCGGTTTGATGAATGCAGTTGCAAAGAATTTATAGGCAGACTCAACCTTCCTTTCAAATTCATTATCGAACTCCTGAGGCAGATGCCACTTACGCATATGTGGGACTTTCAGAACAGCTATTCATTTGTCTACGAAGATGGAAAAGGTAGGAAGGTGCGAAACTAAGTGTGTCTTTCAGAGAAGTAATTCATTTTGGCAAGCGCCCCTTTTGTGTTGAGAAGCAGTGGGAGATGCGAGGGACACCAGTCCAGATGGCATGAGAGGGTTGCTCCACGGGCATCGGGATCCAATGAAAGAATACTGGGTCATTCTGTGTGGTTGTCAAGACATGACTAACATCATCATTACAGCTAATCCACGCCTATGTCTCAATAATACATGCTGTGCAAATAAACTGATATTTAAAAAGTGTAGCTCGTGCTAAAATTATATTCTCTGCTACAGGCTCCGTCAGTAAACACAGAGAGTACCGGTATAAAAACACATGACAAAGCTTACAACCAAGGCTTCTCCGGGGAGAAGGTACAAAGTGATGAGTTATAGCCAACGTGAAGTAAGCCCATACTTGGCCAGGCACTGAGAAATGTTATTCGCACTATCTTGTCTTGTCCTTGCAATACCCCTAACAAATGTATTGTAAAATGTGTCCCCATTCTATAGATAAGAACACGGGAACTCCGAAAGCAAACGTCGCTGCTAACACAGGACAGAGCAGGGACTCCAGGTCAGGGCTGCCCAATTCCTGACCCCATGGGTGCTGCCCAGCAGCGAGAGGCGGGACCCGGCTGCCACACACAGGGTGGCAGCCGGAAGTCACAGCGGATCGGGGAGAAGGAGCACTTACCTCTCTGGGCTTGATTTCAGGGAGGAAGAGCGGGCCGGGAGGGGAAGTGTGGCTGACCGCTTCACTACCTTCTCACCGTCAATGTAGCTCATCTCACTTTTTGAGCGAGGCACGGAAAGGGGAGATTTTGCTGGAGAAGAGAAGTGGGTACAAAAGACTTAAAACTGCTGAGAGCAGGAAACAGGAAGATGTTTCCCCTTATCCAGTGCACCCTCCTCCTCCCCATCATCAGGGAATTTTAAGTCACTTACTGTCTTCAGAGTAGGAGTATCGAGGAGAGTACAGATCTGAATCATCATCTAGTGAACAAAACAAAATGCAATCAGGAGGAATCCGGCTGAGGCAGGAGAACGAGCGACCTGTGCCCACTCCCGCCGCCCTGCACCGCCATCCAGTCACACCAGGGTCCCCTGGGAGGAGAAGGAGTGGAGCCAGGTTTGCAGAGCCCACCCCCTCCAAACAGAACCTGCAGGCCGGAAGGTACAGTCACGTGGCCTGGGAGAAGACCATTGCCTGATACCAAGAAAAGCGTGGGGACAAGCAGCTGGAGGGCCTCAGGGAGCGTCTCCACAAGCAGAGCTGGAACAGGGGGCCCAGTCTGGCTGAGATACCTCCCTGGCTGCTCACCCCGAGGCTCTGGTCTAGCCTGCAAGGTCCTCGGAGTCCCCCAGGCCTGCCACTGGGTGGCGTCGTCGGGGAAGAGGCGTGTTTTCTAGCTCCCCACCTCAGCTGTGACCTGTTTTACATGCTAAGGTTCCCTATACAACATCATTTAACACACAGGCTCTGCAGCTAAAAGAACAGTTGGGGAAAACCCTCATAATCCTGTTTTGATTCCACCCCGACCTGGTTCCTCAAGGCACTTTCTTGCCTTGGGATGTAACACACCCATGGCAGGTGCAGTTGTGCGGTTTGCTCCGAAAAGGCGCTGCTGGGGGAGTGTCTATGCTGTGGCCCTGGAATAAGTCAGACTCCCGGGGGTTTTTGTAGTGTAAGATGCCCTCCGAGGGCACGACACACCCCTAAAGAAGCTGGGCACTGGGCTCTCAGACCCAGGAACTAGATAAGATCTGAACCCTCGTGCCAGTGGCTGCACTGAACGAACCCCGAGGCTCCAGGTGCACTTACAGGGACAGATTTCACAACAGGGAATGTCCTGAGGATGCCAGGCATTTGGTCGCTATCCCCATGATGACCCCTCCAAAGTGCTGGAACAGTGGGCCTTTCCCACTTTCCAAGATCTTGCTAACCCAAACTCAGGATTCATGAATGTGGACTGAAGCCCCAGTACCTTCCCTTCAAATCTGAAGCAAATTTAACAAAAACACATGAACTAACCTGAAAAGAAACGTCAAAGAATCCAGGACATGTTAATGATTATTTGTTAATTAAGTCTTTGCTGCTATAAAAATCATTTTTAGTCTCCGAGTAGTATAGGTCATAATATTTTGTGCAATGTAAATAAAGCCAACACAGCGGTTATGGTGAGTCAAGTATTCTGCAAAGGCAGCCCCTCTCCCCCTCCCCCCTTCTAACTCCCCCTCTCCCCATTTTTATCTGTTCCAGGTCTCCACCCCAACCCCCCCAAGATAAAGAAAAGTCATCAGGTACCAAGTTATTTCTCCCACCTCCTCCCCATCCCTCTCTCTGTGTTAAGGCTAGGATTAGTCAACATCAAAGTTGAGCAGGGCTTAAGGTTCTTCTATCAACACAGCCAAGCCTTTCCCTGCTATATCCTGAGCGGTGAGTGTCTTTAACTTTTGAGAACAGGCCAGAGAGATAAAATGGCATCAGAAAATATATATTCTGAAGTACTGCTCTGAAGAATTTTGTTTTAAATAGAACTTCTGATTACTGTACTGATAAAATAGCTGTGATGTCAAAGAAAACTAAAAATCAACGTTGATTGCAGGCATTTGACGGGAATAATCATGCCTGTCAAATGAAAAATTAGCTCAGCTGGGAACCAATGTACATGGCGCTTAACATCCAGCCTAGCATTTTGGCTCAGAACTGCACCTCTCTGAACCGGGGAGAATTACAGCCTTTTGTAAACGGTAACATGAGGGTTATTTTCTGTTACCTGTGCTTGAGGTAATAGAAAATAAGGAAGAAAAAGGCACTTAAAGATTCAAAGAAAAAATTTAAAAACCCTGAGATCTTTAAAAATATTTTCTCTCTAGAGCTTTCTAATGTGGATTTCTAGAAGATTCTTTTTCTAATTTTAGTCCTCACCTGAGGATATGTTTAGAGAGAGGGAGAGAGGAAGGAAAGAAAAGGAAAAGAGAGGGGGAAGAGAGGAAGAGAGAGAGAGAGAGATCCTCCCATATGCACCTTGACCGGGGATTGAACCCACAATCTAGGTATGTGTCCTGACGGGGACCAAACCTTTTGGTGTATAGGACAATGCAATAGAGCTATCCAGCCAGGGTTAGAAGATTTGTTAACAGAAAAGGAGAAACAGTTCTTATAAGATGAAAGGAATAGCTTGGAGAATTAAACAATTTATGTATTTTGAAACGCAGAAGTAGGAAAGATGGGGGTGAAGGCCACAGAGATGAATGAAGGATGTTCTTGGCGCTATTTCCTATTCGGTGCAGATGGAAAAGAAACCTCGCCCATTCGAGGCTGACCCAGGGCAGGGGCTGTGCAGAGCGAAGCAGCTTTGCATTCCCCACCTGGTGGCCATGGGATCTAACTCTGGCATGTGGATTTCAGTTCATCAAACCTTTAAGAGGGCAAACTGAAGTTGTACTGATTCCTCTGAATATCCAGGGTACATATAATTTATTTAAAAATATATATATATTTTATTGATTTTTTACAGAGAGGAAGAGAGAGGGCTAGAGAGTTAGAAACATCGATGAGAGAGAATCATCGATCATCTGCCTCTTGCACAGCCCCCACTGGGAATGTGCCCGCAACTAAAGTACATGCCCTTGACTGGAATTGAACCCGGGATCTTTCAGTCAGCAGGCTGACGCTCTATCCACTGAGCCAAACTGGTTTCAGCGATATATATAATTTATGCTTGAAGTTTTTATGCTTGTCTTGCAAAACTAATGGAAGAAAATTTTGCCTGTACTTACGAGTAAAAATAATAGCAGCTCCCATTATTATTATTGGCCTAATAATAGCCAATAATTTACCAATATCATCTCACTTAATCTCTGCAATAGGAAATACATAAATATCTCATTACAGACAAGGACATGAAGGTCCAAGGAGGTCAGGAAATGTGCCCGTAGCCGCGCAGTAAGAGACAGAGCACGTCTTCCTGACTCCACTTCCTTGGGCCGCCTCTAGCTCTGAGATGGGGTGGTGCCTTGTCCTAGGTTCACCCACGCTGGCTGCCCAGGCCGGGGAAATGTGGCTATCCCTTTATAAGTTGTAGCATGCTAAGGAGACAAGGGAGAGTGTTGTTCAGCAGCTCAAGTCCTGCCTGCAGCGCTGGCCTGCCTCCCAGGCCTGAGGCCTTTGCTCTGTTTTTCTGCATCGTCCCCTCCCTGGTGACACTTGGGCAAGTTTGCTGCTACCCCTCCACCCTGCAGTCCTCCTCCTGCTGGTCTCCAGGGACACGGGTAAAACCGAGTCACTGTTGCTACATCTCCCGATTGCCGCTTCTTGCCCTCCGCTCCTGGCAAGCTAAGTCCACACTGGGGTAGAGGGGTGTGAAGTTCAAAATGGCAGTGAATGGGAAAACTGGGTGCAAGGTTACCTGTCTATATGTTAACCAGGGAGAGACAAAGAGGTAGGAAGAGAGAGAGGCAGACAGAGAGGCAGAGAGAGACAGAGAGAGATGGAGAGACAGAGTTAAACCACAGTCCAGATACATTAAATAAAACATTTCTCAATTGTCCAAGAACATGGACATTGTCAGTGTCTGAAATCCTGCTTTTACTCTTTCTTTAGGGTCTTTTTTTTTGTGTGTATGTGTGTGAGTGTGTGTGTGTGTGTGTGTGTGTGTGTGTGAGTGTGTGTTAACCCTCACCTGAGGCTATTTTTCCCATTACTTTTCAGAGAGTAGAAGGAGGGGAGGGGAAGAGAGAGAAGAGAAGAGAAGAGAAGAGAGAAAGAGAGAGAGAGAGAGAGAAGAGAGAGAGAGAGAAGAGAGAGAGGGAGAGAGAGAGAGAGAGAGGTGAGAGAGACACATCAACTGGTTATCTCAGTACGTGCCCTTGACTGGGGAACTGAACCCAGGGCCCTTGGATGCTCAGGCTGACACTTGAACCACTGAGCAACTCCGGTTTGGGCTCTCCAGGGTTTTTAAAACAATGCCACAGTGGGCTGAGCAGAGCTGAGCTTGGATCTGTGATTCTTGCTCGTGGTGGCGCCCCATGCTGACTGTGTCCCTCAAAGCTGCAAACATCAAACCTTGGCAGCAACACTCAGAACTTCCTGTGCCGGCCACTTCCAGGAAGCTTAACACTGAGGGGATTCACTGGGTGAACAGCTCACTCCCAGGACCCAGGGCCCTGCTGGGCTCTGCTGTTCGCACACCAGCGACTCCGCTCCGGGCTTTGGCAGTCTGTCCTGGCGGCGCATCTGGGAACAGCTACTCCCTCAAAGCTGCCAGAAGGCACATAATTGCCTTTTAACCACAATGACTTTAAAAAGGAGCCTCTGAAAAAGACTTTCCTGGAGAATCAATGACAATCTTACACACTGGCAAAAGTGCTGGTTGGGAATAATTGTTCTATAAAAACTAGTATGTAATTGATCCAAAGGGGATGGGCAAAAAGCAGTATTTGCATATTCACTTGCCTATGTCAATGAAGTTTCAATTTTATGCATTTCTTAGACCTTGAAAGTTCAAATTATTCCTCAGGATCAACAGCTTGTTTTAACACAGTCTTTTCCCACTGCTCAAATTAATTCTCTCTCCTACTTTAACCCACACACTTAGGAAGGAAAAGGACACGCACCACCAACAAAAAGATTCAAAGAAGGAGACCTATGCAGAGGTAGAGACCAAGTCTGGATGGAGGGAAAAGGAAGAATTTACAAGAGAGAAAACAGGGCAAGTTGATCAGTAGCCAGGGAGCTTGGGGGAAGATTCCTCAAGTTGTCTAGGTCCCGGTTAAAGGCAATCCAATTTTAAGGGATGAACAAAGATCAATATAGGGGGTAGAGTAGCTATAGAAGACAAATTGGGGGAAAAGTAGAATCTGAAGGAGGAGGAGAGAAGGAGGTGGAACAGGAAAGGAGTGAAAGCTGGACAAAGACTCACCAACCTCATCTCCGGGGCATTCCTGGCCCTTGAAAGTGGGAAGGGAGTCTGCCACTGTCTCAACCAGCT